TTCTGCACTGCGGAGAGGCCAGACCCGCACTTCTGGACTGGCTGTACTGCAGTCAGAACTATGAGTGGGATAAATACAGGAGGGGCAGCGTATTTACAGTTGCAGGGGCAGAAAGGGTTTTGTTTTCCCCTCAAATGTCACCCACAAGATTTGAAGAGAAACAAAACCAGCCCACGCCGGCCCTTCTCTGCGGAGCTGAAACCGCTCTGCTCCCAGTTCCCTCTCCCAGCGCTGAAAGGAGAAGGGCTTTGCTCGCACTGCTGCCCACGGCTGGGGCCCTTCCACCAGCTGCACAGCAGCAGCCACTTCTTTCCCACTCCTCCCTAACGCCCCCAAACACACCCAAGCACAGGCTTGCCTCTGCTCTTTCCCATTGCAGATCGTCTCTCGCTGTGACATCATGCTGCTGATGGAGATAAAGGAGAACAAGAACAGGACGTGTCCCCTGCTCGTACAGCAGCTGGCTGGGTAAGGTGGTGTGTTGTGTATGGGCAGGAGGCTGCTGGGGCAGGCAGGCAGCCCTGTGGCACACAATCTGCTTTTGCCATGGCCTGGGCTGGGTGTTTCTAAAGACAACAAATCTTGCAGGAGTTCAGTTACTGGGAAGGAGGCTCAGCCTATGCTCAGCTCTGCTCCTCTGTGCTGCAGGGACAGTGGTGGGGAGAGAGCTGGGCTGGGCAGGGCAAAGCCAGCTCAGGCTAATGCAGGGGATGCGTTTTTGGAGTAGTGTGGTCAGTGTATCCCCCTTTCACATTGGGGAATTCACTAAGCAGCCCCTCTCCTTCCAGCCAGACAAAAGGAAAAAGGGAGGAGTACAGCTGCGTGGTCAGCGGGCGGCTGGGCAGGAAGAGCTACAAGGAGCAGTACGCCTTCCTCTACAGGTAAGGTGGGTGGCATCCCCTTCCAGCACATCACCCTGTGGGGTCAGGATGCACAGCAGGGCTGGGGCAGCTGCTCTGAGTGTCACAGCACAGCCATCACCAGTGGGATCTCCACCGTTCTGTTGCAGGAGAGACCTGGTGTCAGTGAAGCAAACCTACCAGTACCCTGACACCCAGCCTGGGGACGAGGACGCCTTCTCCCGAGAGCCCTTTGTCGTTTGGTTCCAGTCACCAAAAACCGGTGAGATGCTCTCAGCAACACGTCATCCTTCCATTGCACTGCCCACACTTCAGCAGCCCGGGCCTCACGGCTGTGCCTGTGCTGGCAGCAGGGCTGGGGCAGGTGCCAGCAGCACAGCACGTCCCACGTCCTCAGCCCAGTCTCAGCTGTTTCTTCTTTAGGAAACCTGTCTTCCCAACCAGTCTGTTTTTCTTTGTGATTCACTGCATGATTAACCTTTTGTTGTTGTTGTTTTGTTTTTTGTTTGTTTTTTGTCTTGTTTTCAAGCTGTCAAAGAGTTTGCTATAGTCCCTCTGCACACTGCGCCGGAGATGGCAGTACGGGAGATTGATGAGCTCTATGATGTGTATTTAGACATAAAGCAGCACTGGGACACCAAGGTTGGTCACCTTGGGGACTATGGAGGTTCCTGCTGGTCTCATTTTGAAGAGCCATCCTCATAAGTGCCTTTGAACCCCCTTCTGCCTTGCAGAACTTTATCTTCATGGGGGACTTCAACGCGGGGTGCAGCTATGTTCCACGGAAGCACTGGAAGAACATCCGCCTGAGAGCGAGCTCGGAGTTTGCCTGGCTCATCGGTGACACGAATGACACAACAGTCAGGAGGAGCACCAGCTGCCCCTATGACAGGTTCCCAGCCTAACCTTCCCCTGCTTGTAACACCTTATGGCAAAGCAGCACACAGAAAGGTGCCAAAGGCACACATCCTTCAGAGCTGCTGTGGAATCTTCCCGGTGTCAGGGAGCGCTGCAGCCACGTGTGCATGGGGCTGCCTTGGCCACGGTTCTTGCTCTTGTGTTCCTAATTTGAAGGCTGAGGTATTTGGGTGTCTCACTGCCAAAGGAGGTGACGAGCTGGCTGTGTCAGGATGCCGAAAGCATCCTCCAGCCACCCATGTGTAGGATGCACCATTTGTGGCTGTGACCGTGTGGAGGGCATCGACTCATCGCAGCCCTTACCAGCGCCCCATTCCCTTTCCTGCAGGATCGTGGTCAGTGGGGAGCAGCTCAGCCAGGCCGTCGTGCCACACTCCGCTAACATCTTTGATTTCCAGATGGCTTTTCAGATGAGTGAGGAGCAGGTAGGCACAGCCCATCCCGTGCGGCGGGGCTCCCCCCAGCACCAGACCCTTGGCCAAAGCAGGGCCAGCAGTGCCCAGCCTTGCAGCAGGAGATGCACATGTGCAGAGCTGCACCCACCCAGAGCAGAGCGGTGCATCCCCTCCCCACCACCCCATCCCCATCTCCCGCAGGCTCTGGGGGTGAGCGACCACTTCCCGGTGGAGTTTGAGCTGAAGGCACGCGGCGGCTTTTTCGACTGGATAAAATCCAAGTTCTCAAAGAAGGGGAGAACAAGAAAGAACCTCCGCTCGGGCTCATGAGCATGCCAGGTCCGCTCACACAGCAAGAACGCAAGGATGCCAGCGGGTCTTACAGCTGAGCAGTGCTGACGTGCTCACAGCCAGTGCAGTATTTAGCAGGAAAGCAAAGATTTTGTCACACTTCAAACGTTTTGGGTCCAAAGGTGAATGGGGCCTTCTTGATTGTAAGCTCAGTGCAAATAAATCAGCTAGAAGCAGCGTGCTGAGCGTCCTGCACTGCTCACGAACGTGAAGCGGTAACACAGACAAAAGGCTTCACACCGTGCCTGCAGCACACAGAGGGGCTCTGCACCTCCCCGTGGGCTGCTGAAAATTCGGCAGTAAACCAGACATCATTGAATATTGTTTATTTAACCTCATGGTACAGGGATCTGCTTTCTCAGATCACTGTATTTAGTGCGTGCCTTGTCACAGGGAACACACCAGCAATGTGCAAATAATCCAGAGGTTCATAAAGGTGAATATTCACCTGAATGCACGCCCCTTGTTTTATCTGCTGGCAAACAGATACTCCTGTGGGGGAGGAAACAGTTCAGCCTTTGTGCAAAGGGTCTGTCTGGGGAGAGAGAAAATAAATCTGGAGCAGATCGTGCCAATGGGGGACAGCAAGCGCCCTGACTTTCAGCAGCAATTAATCTGAAAGCGATACAGCGTCTCAAAAGCTGCCTTGATTAATGCTCCAGCCGAGGCAATAGGAAAGAAAGAGCCCTGATTTAGAACAAATATTTACATTGGGATTTTTATGGAAATGCCACTGTCTGGCTGACAGCAGCAATGTTTCATGAGAAGGCTGAAATCAACCTGGGCCTCCGGCCCCACATCTCAGCGCACACAGCAGCCTCCTTCTGCCTCTCAGAGAGAGGCAACACACAAAGGAGGAACGCTCCCTCCCCGGGAGCTGTAATGGAGATATTCAATCATGAAAAATATGTGAATATGACTCAGCCATGCTGAAAAAGTTCATCCTTATTTGCGACAGCACATACAGTGCCTTACGCAGCCTTTGGAAACAGGAGGCATGCTCAGAACCTAATTAACTGCTGCAGCCTGGGGCACCATGTCAGCAGCTGCCACTCTGCGGCCGCTGTGGCACAGGGGAGGAGACTGAGCTGCAGAGAACATCCCCACACAGAGGGGCAGAGATGCCCCTCTACCGGGCAGACGGCATCCGTGCTCCATTTGCAGCATTGGAGAGCGGCTGGGAAGCGTCCAACATTTGCACCATCAGCAGGAGAGGTCTCAGGAGATATCCCTCTGTTTATTCCATGCGTTCATCAGACAGCATTGCAAATATATTCCCACGTGTTCGGCAGTTCCTGAGTTCTGCACCAGGGGACCATCGCCCAGCTCTCCCCTTTGCAGAGGGCTTTAAATAACCGCAGCCACAGCACGGGATGGTCCACAGCAGAACAAAGCCCTCTTTAGCTGGCTGCCGAGCCTTATTTACGACCGGGCAGGAGTTTTGTGCTAGAAACCAGAAGCAGCCCAGAGAGACTTCGTCTGGTTGAGCCAGGTCTGGGCCTGGGGCACCAACAAAGGGCTTTTCTGCAGTGCCAAGCTCCACGCTTCCCCTACAGCGGCCCCGGCCAAGCGCGCACAGAGCACTCGGCTCCCGACGGGCGCGCACCGCATGCGGCACCACCGCGCTGCAGCCCCAGCGCAGCCCCACTCGTGGCGCGGTTGCAGCGCACGCAATAAATATTATTCGGGCCCCCCCTGGTGGCACGGCCGTAAACGTCCGCGCGTTGCTCGGGCCCACGCACCGCAGCCAAACCGATGTGGGGAAGGACGCTGCTCTGAGCTCTGCGCCTCCATTGAGAGCTCCCCCGCCTTGCTGGCCGTGCCTGCAAGGAGCCCTGCAGCACTACAGGAGCGCCACCGGGAACCCGGCAGCCCCCCAGGCTCACTTTTTCTTGTTTTAACTTACATAAATGAGCCTTTCTTCCGTGTTACGGGGAAGAGGGCGCTTAAAATCTGGTCCAAATTAATGGTGATACAAGCTGCAAATCCAGGCAGATGTGGTGACTGCCCACAGGTTTTCTCTGAGCACACGATACAGATTTGCACATGTGGAAATGAACAGTATGCGCAGTTGGGCTGAGCAACAGCCAGGCACGCCGTGTACCTGCACAGCTATGCTGGCTCTCAGGTTTTCTCAGTGTTCCGGTGTGTTTTTTCCCCCGAACTTTAAACAGGAACTTTGAGCTGACATAGCACAAAGCTACAACAAGGAAACAATCTGATAAACCTGGGGCAGGAAAGTCCTTGGCAGCCACCAGCAGCCCGCTGCGGCTCAGGTCTCAGCAGTGCTTTCAGCAGCAGCAGTGTTTGGGAAAACAGCTGCTGGTTGCCATGGCCAGGCCCTGGAGCTGAGGTGCTGCTGGGATCCAGCTCCTGCACACAGTGCCACCCTATGCACCGTGCTGCTGGGCCCTGAGCCACAGCCAGGCTGCAGCCTGGTGGGAGGTGATGGACTACATAGGAAAAGAACCCAATGTTGGTTTTAACATGCACATTTTAATGAAGCAAACATTTCTATGTAATAAGTTATAAGATACAATTTTACAATCCTGCATTTTATTCCAGTTTATTTTGTTTTCACTTCCTAGTTTACAACATAGTGAGCATTTCACATTAAGGCACAAAAAAGCACGGTAAAAAAAAAAACCCAACCTTCCTTTATTTCCCCAATCAACTGTGCTCGAGGGTAGTGCATCCAACATAACTACAGAACCGTAAGTGTGAAGTTCTCCATAGGGACAGACAGTGACGTTTCAACAGGCTCTCAACAAATCCTACCTTCTCCTAATTGCAGAGCTAAAGCTCATGTGGAGAGCTGTACTAAAGCCCCAGCAGCTGACAGCAATTGAGATACGCACTTGGAAAGCAGTACTGAGTAACCCAGGACAAACACACGAGTCACAACAGAAGTTTTCACTCCTTGACCCCAGGCAGGAACCCCCTCCACAGCACGGAAGAGAATTTCAGAGGAGATGAGCATGACTTGGGCACATCCTTGGACTGAGACAGAATAAAAATGGCTGCAGCAAACAAGGTTTGTTGGTTCATTTTGCTGCTATCAGATTTACACACCCACCCTTCCCCCATCCCAATACCCGAGTACAACGTGGGTCCATCCCCAGGCTGGCTTTGCACCATCTTGCTTAACAGCCAGCAGCCTCCAGTATGCCATATGCTGCCATGCTCCGACCCGCACGGATTGCTCAGATGAGAACAGGACTGACATGGCAAGCTAAGGGCTCTATTTAATCCAGCCAAACTGGGGTTGTTCTTAAGAAGACAATAAATCAGTTGGGAGTTACCTGTAAAACAGAGCTTGGGGAATTTCTCCAGAATCCCGAGCTAATTAAAAATGCATTGCTAGCATCGTGGCCAAAAAGCTCCTGGTACGGATTTACAAAGCATTAACATAAAGGCTGAAAGCGCCCAGGAAGCAATTTTCAGTCTACTTTTGGTCTGCTATAAAAGATAAACCTTTCCTAAGTGTAAACCTTTAGCAAAGCATTTTCAAAAAGGTTTCAAATTTGAGTGGTACAGCCACTTTTAGTAGCCTTCTATAATGTTAAGCATTAAAATGGATCAAGTATACAAAGGCACCCATCATAGTACCAGTTTCATCTCATTTCTTTACAGAAAAGAATTTGAACTGGGGACAGCCCAAGTCATATTCCATAACTAAAATGTAAAGTCTCCAGTCAAATAAAATCAGTAGTTAAGATACCCAATCACAAAGACAAATTCCAGTTTTCAATTAACATCTAAAGTCTTTAACATCCACAAGGGAAATTAGTGTCTAGTTATCCATCTGATTCTCCAAACATCAACAGTGACCTGGACAGCACTGCAAAGGTACAATTTGAGGAGGACATTAAATAGATTCGTGTTATGTTGATAAGTAGGATAGAAGTGAAATGCTTGTAAAAACGTTACAGAAGTTACTTCTGAGTGTATTGAAATGTGAGCCGTGGGTATCTAGATACTGCAATTGGCAACAGGACTGCACCCAGTAGAACTCTACGGCCGAGCTGCGAACAGACCGACGGACACGGGTGGGTTTAGGGAACCGTGACATGGAAGGGGCTCCCAGGGATGTGCTCGTCACCCCACTTCACTGCCAGGACGTAGTCACCCCTCTCCTTGACCACATACGTCACGTTGTACTGGTGGTTGCCCAGATGCTTGATGGACACCTCTTCACACGGGATTGTAGGCCCGTGGACGCCGACTAACAGCATGTTTGAACCTACAGCAAAATAAGAGTTAGCGCTCATGCACTTAAACAACCAACCATGATGTTTTTACAGCCAGATCATCACCTCAAGCTCTGAATTTTAACTCTGCAAAATGCAGATTTGCAGCTAAAGCAGATCAGGTCTCAGAGCGCTGCCAAGAGTTCTCATTAATTCTTAGCTGCCAGCTCACAGAGTCACGCTTCTCCTCTTTCCTAATGCAGAGCTTGCAATTAACCAAAAGCTGTTTCAGTGCAAAAGACATCCAGCTAAACCATGCAGCTGGCTCCTGCTCCCTTACCTGCTTTGCTGCAGTCCACAGAGAAGGAGCTTTTCTGACCCACAAAAGCCTTTGAGAGTCCTGCTCCCCGGGAAACCACTTTGCTGGCATCCGAGGTGGATTTGGGAATGGCACTGTAGCAAGTTTCGGTCGATGACCTCGTCACCGACTCCACCATGATGGAAGAGGTTTCGTTTGCGCTGCCCAGGGTGACCAGCCGCTGTCCTGGAAACAGAAAAAGCTTCTGACGCTCAGATTCACCCCGTCTGAAAGGCAGTTAGAAGGAGGTTTTGAAACCCTCCTAGTGACTAGCATGCATTCTGCATCCAAAATGCATTATCAGAGAGGAGCAATTTCCTTCTTTGGTATTTAAACCGACACTGTCCAGTAACACTGCCAACAATCCCATCCCAGAGCCCTTAAGTGGCAGAAGGACCACAGGAACTTCAGGATTCAGTAAGCAAAGCTTGCTGCTGGAGAAGAGTTAATTGTGCTCCAATCACCAAATGCCAAAAATGGCTCAAGTTGGCAGAAAAGCAGGTGCAATTTTGCAACAATCCATTTTGAAAGCAGAGCGTGTCCCAGCCAGGGGAGTGCGGTCCCTGCTGCCCATCCCAAGACCACCACCACCACCAGCTTCCTCTGGCTTGGGGAAGCAACAGTGCTTCAACACAGCACTGAAAAGAAAGAGCCCTCTGATGTAAGACCAGCCTTCCTCACATCACCTGCAAGCTCCCAGACACAACAGCCTTCAGTCAGGCCAGAGATGCACCAAAATGAGACCAAGATGGCCATCGCTGGTGCTCTAAGTGCGCAGCTTACAGGCTTCAGGGAGGAAAATGGGTAATAAGCCATCCATCCCCACTGCTGATGCAACACCCTAAAGCTAGGTCGAGGTCTAGCATCCCCCCATGATTCTGTTTCACAGAGTCTAGCTGACAAGCTCTGAGACCCACTCACAGCCTCTCCCAGATGCTCCTACCCCAGGGTTTAGCAGTAATGGAGAGAAGCATTTTGCTTCTCATGTCTTTGGGCACCAGGCATCTCCACTGACTGCTGACTCTGAGGGATATACTTGCTGAGTGACACAAAGTACGTTGGGCCCACTGCAAATACTGGTTAGCTTTTTACCTGTAACCTTTGCCTTGAAGGGGCTGCCCACTATGTGGTTAGGTCCACCATATTTAACTCCAATTAAATAGTTTCCTGGAGCCATGGGTGTGTACATGACTTTGTAACCTTCTGGAGTTTCCTGGCAGTCCATTTTCACCTTTGATGGCCCTTCAATTGTAACAGAGAGGGTACCTGGACCAGCCTTGGTCGTGTTAATGAAAAACTCCGACTGCAATCCTAGAAAGATGTAGCACAGTAAGACACACTCTTCCTTACACCATTGTTACAAAAGCAGCCTCAGTTATAAAACAGGAACCAGTGACTTGGTGCAAGGGTCAGGAGATCCCTTCAGGACCAAAAGGGAAGTATTTCAGCTTCAAAATGCCAGCTCAAAGGGGAAAGGCATGACTCAGAACAGAGCCCCTTCTGCTGGGGGCTCCTTCATGCCTGAGCTCAGGCCAGTTGGGAGCCCTCTCACCACACGGGCCATAAATCAGCGGTGAAGGGCCCACAAGAAACCAAGAGAGACAAGGGCTGAGAGGTCTCCTGGAGGAGACGGCTGTTTGAACTGCGCTGCAACAACACTCTGAGCAGTGTGTGGAAACAAAAGCTTGTTTAATTACAGCATCTGGTTCACAGAACCGAATTACTGGTGCTAATACTAAGCCAATGACACAACGCCAGCAGCACGAGAAGAATTTAAGTGAGGCTCTTAGTCCCCCCACATAACTTACTGTCAAACCCCGGCTTCAAATATTTATGACCTTTGGGTTGTTGTATCAGATGCTGCTGACGAGGAATAAAGGGCTCGGGCACGACCAAACCGAGACAGCTATGGGAAAGTTCACTACAGCGAGGCTGAAGCACGCTGAGTGCAACGGCAAAGCTGGGAGAAACTTCTGGCCTCTCTGCACAAGAGCTGGTTGTGTTGCAGTGCCTGGAGAGCCGGCACAGCACAGCACCGTGCTCTGCTGTTCCAGCAGGAAGCCGCACAGGCAGGCTGTGCAGATGAAGGCTGGCCTTGTTGGAGGCTGCAGGCGCACAGTTCAGGTGCTCAGTGCTCAGCCACCGCTGTCTCACAGTGGGTCATTGTGCAGAACTGCTGCTTGGCAGCTCCCAGGGCAGCGCGCCACGAGCAGCAGCCAGGAGCCAACAAGGGGGCACAGAGCAACAGCACTGCAGCTGAACAGCCTACTTAGATTGAAAACAACCCCAAGCACCTTTACAGGTGGAGAAAAAATCCCCCTGTCCCTGCAGTATCAGTGGCTAGTATTAACGAGTGCTTTTGTTTCCACCTATTAGAGAAGTGAAGGCAGCAACATCTTTATTTTACACAGTATAGCCACACGCTTCCAAAATCAACTGCTTGGTTCTGCAGAGCAGCACAAGCTTTGGCTGAATAACTGCAACTTTTTTTTTTCTAGGGAGAAAAAAAATATATGAAATAGAATCCAAAAAAGACAGAAGTAGATAAGATAAAGGGAACTTGTTGTCACCCTGCACATCAAAGGGGAAAAAAGAACAGTTCTGCTCTGCCGTTCACCAGTGCGTGTGGCCCACAGAAGCACACAGTTTAACAGATCAAAGCACAGATCCTGGAATGCTTTCATATTTTCTCAAAAAGACCAAAATCACATAAATGAATAAAAATAATCTACATTCTTGAGTTGAGAACTGTCAGCTGGGGCAGCCGAAGGAGATAAATAGGGTCAGTATTCATGCTGCACCTGAAGCAGTACGGAATACTACAAACAACACAACCCATCACATTGCCTGCATTTTGCACATCATGTTACCATTAACTTGAAACCTCTCAGGGGTGCAAGCGCTGAAGGAAAGCTAATTGGGTGCACCCTGCAACCAGTGGATTAACAGGGAAATGCAAGTTAAAGGAGACTCCTCAGACTAGACAGCCAGCTGAACGACTGCATTCACTACAAGCTGCTGGAAACCCTGCTTTACTACTTCTGCCCATTACCAAGTTTCAGGACAAAGCAAAACAAATCTATCCATCGCATTCGTTCCCCCTCGGCCTTTCACCCACTCTGGAGCACACATGCAGTGCAGTCGCTGACTGCTTTCTGACGGCTGCAGAACTCTGCAAAAGCTTTGCAGACCTCACGTGCGCAGTTCTCACGTGGAACTGAGCCAAAGCATCCCCAGAGCTGCGGGAGACCACCTACGAGGAGCTCAGCCGCCCATCACTGCAGAGCAGCCACACAGACCAGTCAGCTTCTGCTGCAGTTGCTGGTTAACAGAGGCGTTAAGTTCACTGAGGCACAGTGTAGCATGCAGACCTGTTAGTCGATGGTTGTAAGACTTCAGGAGCATGCGAGAAAGCAAAATTAGTCTGCACCCAGGTCAGTAGAGCATGTGTGTCAGTTCAGCTGTCTCAGCAATGGCAGTCATGTAAAAATATGCCTAAAAACAGCTTCTAGCTCTTTCCAGAAAGCCAAAGGCCAGCGAGGGAGCTGTACAAGAAGGGTTACCCGTGGTGCCGCTCTCCAGGCCTGGTCCATACGCTGTGACGAGCGTGGGGTTGCCCGCCTGGCCGGGCTCACCAACACGCACCTTGAAGGGGCTGCCCACCACGTGGCTCCCGTTGAACTTCACGTCGATGGAGTGGATGCCATTTTCGTGGGGGATAAACCGAACGGCATATTTGTCTGCAGAGAAAAGAGGCCGTTCCAACATTGCGAGATGACATCAGCAGAAGCTAAACTCAACATTAGTTAGCAGGCTGAGCAAGGCTTCCACACCATTTCAACATCTTCTGGTTCCAGCATAAGCAAACCCAACCACGCTAACTGCTACGCCCCTATTTAAGTAGGAAAATGAAGTGTTTATCACAGGAGGTGTCACGGATTGCATTTTCACCTTGTCTGCAAGGAACTGATGGTTGTCACCCAGCCCGCAGCCCAGGCTTAGAGCTATTGCCTGACCTGGAGCTAGAACGACTGCTGAGCCACAGCCCAGCCTGACAGTGGGAGACAGAGCAGCTGGGGAAGGCAAGCCAAGCTGTACCAGCAGGCTGAGTGTGCTGCACCAACACCATAGAGACGGCACCTCTATTCAAGAGTCATTCAGCAACTTGCTGATATTTAACATTTTCAATTGCACGCTCGCCCAGAGGAACAACTGACCTTCCCCAGCCAGGCTGCAGCAAGACTGGCAGAGCACAGACCATAATTCATACAGACTTCAACCAAAAAAGAAAAGCTCACTGCTGAAACAGGTGTTGAGCTTTCTGTAGTGTTTGCTTACGTTCAGTTTCCTTGACATTCTATATGAAGGAGTGGGTGCAAGTTAAAAATAAACTATTTGTCAAAGATGGAAGCGTAGCTTTGAAAAATAAACTTCATTGGCTAAATACAACAATCACATCATATTTCAGCCCCTTCCCTTATGAATAATGTTGCTGTACCTTCACTGCAAGCCAAGACTTCATGTGAAAACCCTTCAGAGTTTGCCCTTTAATATCAGTACCTTACAGAAGTTAGGGCTCCATCAGCTCTCCAGGAAAAACATTGATGGAACAATTCCTACCAGAGTTGCTGACAACCAAATGCCATTCTCCAAAAGCATGGAGCTCACTCCTTGGTGGGCTGTTCGCAAACCAAGGGATTCAACTCACTCGCCAAGTAGCAGGGAGCATTTGTGTAAGTCACCCAGTGTGTTCTGATAAACATAAAGCTGTTCTCACCTGGCTCCAGCTCAGACACGTGGCACTCTTCTACAGCTCCGGAGGGGCTGTGGACTTTAGCATCAATCTTGCCCTTTGCCCCGTTCAGCCTTATAGCAAAGGATGCCGGCTGATTAACTTTTAATCCAGACTCCTGAGAATGCAACAGTCAGATTACCAAACTTAAAATTTTGTTTCAGACAGCACAAGATGCGAGGAAGGGAAATAACCGCTTTAGCACAGTTTTTCAGATTTCAACAAAGGACAGCGTTGTGACTTACAGTAATTCTCAGATCAGAAGGCTTTTCACTCTTACACAGTGACCGATTTAAGTCACCTACATCCGCTAGATGCTAAACAGTCCCAGACTGTTTTGGAAGCCAGACAAGGCTTTGCCAGATCAGGCAAAGGCATGTTTACAAGCCCAGCCACCCGTTATCACTGAGGTCAGGCCCCTGTACTCAGGCACTTGATTTAAAGGATGTTTAAGTGATAGCTCCATTATCAGCTCGTTCATTCATTCCAGATTCATTCAGAGGAAAAGCCTCTGATAATCCTGTTGTCTGTAAGAGTAATAGGCATGTTTATTTTTGCCACAAGAAGCTACATTTAGATAGCTGCCACAAGACATCTTAAAATGAGAAAGCAATTTAAGACACAGAATCAGATGTGCTGCAGAACATTGGCACTGTACAGTGCTGCTTGCTGAAGGCAACTCAGTTCTGCATCCGTGTGGCACTGCTCGTCACAGCCACAGCAGAGCTCATGCAGCTATGAGAAGCAATATTTTATGCTGAACATACTTTACCTGATTTCATTTTCAATTAAATCCTGGAGAGGTAAATAAATGCAACTGAGTAGAACTGAGGTACGATCTGTAGAAAGCAAATCCCTGATGCAGGTTTAGCTGCACACTGAGCTCCTTTACAGAACACTCAGCTTTATCTGCCTCTCCAGGACATAACTGAAGTGGGTATTCCTGTCAAAAGTCTTTAAATGAAACACAAGAGAAACATCAATACCACAGTGACTAATTAACGCCCTTGTAACTCCTTGTTAGAAGAGACACTTCTGGAACAGGCTGTCATGGTCCATTTACACAGTGAATGTTCAGGCAAAGTCCAGGCTGAGCACTTCAAAAAACCTCAACTGAAGTCTTAACTGCTAACCGCCACTCGGTGAGGACTGAGGTACAGTATGTTTAGACACACGTTCTCAGTCTCACTGCCAAGTTTCTGGCTTTGGAGGTTTAAGTCAGACCTTTAATGTTACTTGTACTTTAATGCAAGTAACCACACACACACATAAAAATAATGGTAAGGTTAACAGATGAACCCAGACCAACTACAAAGCTGGAATTCACTCATACAGATTTGCTACCATTCATGGATGTTCTGAGCTGTGACTGTGTGGTTTCATGACGTCAGCCAGAGTGAATTTGTGCTCTGACTCCAGTGTGGGGCCCTGTCCATCTGCTTCAAACAAGGCTGCAGTAATGTTCCTACATGGCCTACACCCTCTTGCCCACAGAAATGCAGCTTTCAGCCCACATGCTGGTACAGCAGCTCAGTTATCAGCGTGATCATTGCTTGTTTGTATTCATGTTTCAGGTTTGACTGGGCCTCCCCAAGCTAAATCAGGGGGGAAAGCAAGTTTTACCTCCTCCTCTTCTTTTTCATTATCAGACATTAGCACCTGCAGTATATGTATTCTAGCCTTCTGCCTTCAAATCCTAGCTAGCTAGAGCAGGGCCAACTCTACCGGCCAATGCTACCAAGCTCCCAAAAACCTCTCTCTGTCTGCAAGCTGAACTTGAAATGAAGCACTAACCAAGGCAAGGTTATCACTAAGAAGAAAGGACAACCACTTTGGTCTCAGAGAACAAGGACGAAATCAGTCTCTGTGGCAAGTTGGGGGATGTTTCCTTATGTCTCACCTGAAGGCTAGTGACAGTGAGCCTGCGAGCATCATCAGACGGGGCGATGATGGGAACCAGGTAGGGGCTTTCAGGAATGTGCTCATCATTGAACTTTATGGACACCTCATAGTTGCCTGTGGGGAGAAAAGATGCAGAGAGTTTCTTCAGTGTATTTGGAAGTAGCCTCCAGTTTTATTTCAGAACATTTTGGTCTTGGTGTGTACCTGGCTCTTGAACTATGTAAGATACACCACAAGATCCATCTTTATGGTCTTCAAAGGCAATTTCTGCTTTACTTGGACCTTCTACAGCAATGGACAGTCCTCCAGCTCCAGCCTCCCGTGTCCATATGCTGAACTCAGCTGTTGAAGCACATGAGAAAACAAACAAGTGTAAGCTTGCTGCAGCTGGGCTCCAGCTTCTTTTTAACAGACCTGCGGCATTCACAGTTACGTGTATGAGAAATGGTACATCATGCCACATCCTGCAGAGCAGTTTCCTAAACATGAGTTTCTCCACCTGCATGACACAGCAATGCTATTCCCTTGTATGTGTTTCTCTGCTGAACACCCCTGGTTACTGGGGTAACCCTGTGCTGTTACATCAAGCTCTACTCGAGCTCTCTGAAGAGAGGCTCCTATAGGGACCAACAGAAATCATTTCATCTGTGCGCAGTGGGCAGAAGTTGAGGGCACAGGACTCACCTGGGACACCTGTCTCTCCACGCTCCAGCCCTGGGCCTCCAGCTCTCACTTTATGGGCTCCTCCCTCGCCGAGCGGCCCCACAGTGAACTGGAAGGGGCTGCCTGGCACGGGCTGCCCTCTGTATTTGACATCCACTGTGTGGACCCCCATTTCTTGTGGCACAAAGCGGACACAGTAGGTGTTCTTGTCGACTTCCACTATTTCTGCATCGGAGTTTCTTCCAGAGGGACTAGTTACCTGGGCTGTCATGTCCCCACAGTCAATTTCTAACAAGGAAAGAATACAAAATGAAGAACAGGAGTGACAGAGTGGTTGGGTACTTCTTTTTTCAACGGAGCTCAGCAGATTACGCAGCACAGATGACAGAAGGGGCAGGCAGGTGCTAGGTCGTATCCCAGCAGAGCAGCCAGCCCAACCAGTTACAGCTCACCAGGTCCTATGGAGGCGGATGAGAAGGTTGGATAAGTGCAGCCAGCTAGAACTGCCCTATGTGATTCACCTGTGCCAGACAGCAGTACAAACACTTAAGAGCCAACCCCAGAGAGAGGCTGAGCTGTGCAGCCCATTTTTCCAGGTTGCTGTACACAGAACAGATGAGGGCCTCCCTGGTTTTTCTATCTCCGTACAGTGATCATGGATATGTTTATCTTTAGCAGTTCAAAAAGACCACACTACCAATGTTTCTTCCCTGAGCTGTCTTAACATGTGGATAACTCAACACGGAAGTTCTTATTCCCACTGCTTCAAGTACACCTGCACTATGCAAGTGTAAGCTATGATTATAGGGAAAAGGATGCTGCTTACCTGGGATTTTTAGGTTCAGATCACATATGCTTCCAACTGTTGCAACAGAGGGAGCCCGTCTCGTTCGTGTGATGCTCTCCTTAACTCTTCCCTCACCACTTATCTTCACAGTAAATGGGCTGCCTGCAAGTAGCACAGCAAGTCATTCCTTCTCTGCTCACTGTATGCTGCATATATTGCATCAAGGAGAAGAGTGAAAGTATCTTCTAACTTGTAGCTTATCGAAGTGAGGGTCTTGCAGCCAAGTTTACAGAAAAGTCCAGGTGAAATACAACCATGTAACCAAAATAGTTCTGGATTGTTGCATGGAGGGTACTGGCAAAGCCTCCTAGAATCTTTGGGACTTAAGGTCTGTACCAGATCAGCCAACCCACCTGCAATTCCAGCACTGGACAGCTAGGCAAGACCTCTGCTGTATTAAACTAAGTTGCCAAACACTCCCACTTACCTGGAATATGTTCATCTGCAAATTTAGTGGACACAATGTACACGCCAGGTACAGTTGGAAAATAGGATACTTTGCAAGTTCCATCTTCTAGGTCTTCAGTTTGGATATCTACCTTGCTGGGTCCTTCAACTGCCAGCGAGATCCCACCATAACCTGCAACACAGATAAGTAACCTTACATTTCCATAGTGATATAAATATGACTGAAATCCAAAACAGCAGCTAGTCAGTAGCCAGCTAGTTTTAAAAAGACTATGTGGGCACAGCATGATGTTTTAGAAGGCCAGAATATATTTAAGCATACATTCAGCTCCTAAGACGTTCTGACCATATCCCTTTTATTTCACTGACACTGAAATGTTAACTTCAGACTGGTCAAGGCTCCACATTAAACAAACACAAAAAAATTGTATGTTCCTCATTTCCTTCTTGCTGTACACAACGATTCTAGATCCAGCTCCAACAAATGAAAGAAATCCTTTGTTAGTGATAGCCCTTGTTGTTGTAAAGTAAGACATTAGCTAAGATAACGAAAAGCTTTTTAGAAACTAATAGCATTGCCTAGAGTTAATAACTGAGAACAACAACAGTGCATTATAAGCAGAATGCTTTGCAGCCTGTGACCTGGAGATCCCTTGCAGAGGAAGACAACACTGTGCTTTAGAGAGTTCCTTTGCAATCAAACTAACCTGCATCTCTTGTGTCTACAATAAAGTCACACATTTCAAAGGTTCGCCCTTCTACCAAACCACGTCCATAAACTCTTGCTCGTCTGGCATCTCCTATCTCAGACTGGACCACCATGATTGTTACAGGGCTGTTTGGTACATGGTTCCCATTCTTCTTGATGCTAACCAGATGTTCTCCTACTTCCCGTGGAATGAATGAGATACCTACAAAGCAGAGAAATGCAACAAGCTTAGTCAATTTTTATGCACGTTACACTTGATTATAAAGCCTTAATCACACCAAGAAATGAAATATTAAAGGAACACTCTACACATATCAAAGTGTTGTTCTCAAGTGGCCACTGAACCATTCATATAAGCAAATAGCACTTTGGCCACAGCCTGGAATGTTAACAGAAAAGATCAGCCTACCTCACCAGCTGCACCATTTGGTTTGACAACACTCCTTCAGGAAAGTGTGGTAAAACATTAAGTCATCTTAAGCAGGAAAGAAAACTGGAGGAGAGGCTGCTATGCTGCTCTCAGGTGACAGCTGTTAGGGCTTACCAATGTGGTTGTTGGGCAGCCTCTTCAGAAGACAAGGCTCATCACGACCTGATGGGGCTTTAATGCTAGCTGTCAGGAGACTGAGATCAGTCTCGTTGATATCCAACAAAAACTCAGCAGCAGATCCAAGCTTAACTTGGGACCTTCTTCTGTTATCATCTGTGGAAATACAGAGAAACGAGTAACAGAAATTAGGACGTTAAACGCAGAACAAGTTGGAGGACTTCACTTTCCTGACACAAACCAGGCCCTCCATGCTACCAGAGGTCAACTTACATTCTTAGTTGCTTCCCCCAAAAGTCTAAACTTTATACCTGTAATCTTGGCTGTGAATGGACTGCCTGGGATGTGCTTGTCATTGTACTTGACCAGTATGCTGTAGTTCCCAGGTAGAGTGGGCAGGTAGGTGACGGTGCACGTCCCGTCCTTGTTATCAATGCAGCTGATCTCCGCTTTGGAAGGTCCTTCAATAGCCAAGTCCAGTCCACCTAGGAAACACAAAGAACAGCATTTCTCTAAGTCTTCATGAACACCAAGACCGAGGATATTTAAAGAGGAAGATTTGAACATGGTGCTGGAAATACAGCTCAGATTTACCTTTTCAAAGGAGAGCAGCAAAGAGCTCAGGCCAGTTTATTTTTAATCAAGTGAATCATTTGCACTCTATACCACATCTGAATGTACTGCTCTCAGGAAGAAGTAATAAAACAGTTTTTACTGCACATATGACACAGCTCGACGGAGGCCATTTTTGCATTATATTTGCACAAGTCATTGTTTACATCATGCCACAGATTCATATTTGAACAAACAAACGCAAATTACGCTTCAAATTAATGCTGACCCACATCACACTTCTTAGGAGTTCAAAGCAGAGAGAAAGGTGGGCTTAAAGAACAGACTTACCCTCCTCTGCATCTTCTGTGACAATGGTAAAGGTCGCTGGTTTATTGGCAACCCCATAAATGAGGCCAGGCCCATAAGCAGACACGCTGCCGCTGTTTGGATAATTCACATAGAACTGTAGAGGGCTCTCTAAAGAAAAAGAAAACAATAATCACTTCAAGGATTAGTGGCCTGGGCTACAAGAATGAAATAGGCATCAAGTTGCTCTAACCCAGTGGGACCTTATGCTTATTCACTACCGCATTCTTCAGTGCTACTCTCTCCAGTTGATATTTGAAGAACCTTTACCCCACTCCAGTGCACTTTAAAATGAATATGCCACTCCTTTCATCTTCAAAAGATACTGCTCCACAGTTTAGTCATGACAAAACGCTACTTCAATTACCACAGATAAGCTTAAATGATGCTGTAAAGGATCTTACTCATCAGCAGTTTATATTTAGCACATTAAATCAGAGCATGACTCAGAGAAGCAGTCTTTCAATTCAGATACTAATCATGAATTTGGGCAGCTCAGAATTAGGAACAAGCACTGCACATTGCCTGACTCAATGAACCTGAACTAGCAAATTTGAAGGGTATCCAGAAACGCATTTGCCAGCCTGAGATTAGTAAAGCTGGTGTGCAAGAACAAGAAGTACAGTCACCAACAGCCAGAAAGAGTTTCAAAAAAAGGCACAGACAGCTTCCAAGTCCAAAGCTAGATTCTGCAGTGAGACAGAAGCAAGCTTGATTCACGACAGCCTTCAAGAAGGAAGTGCTGAGGCACAGCATCCCCCTGGCCAGGCACAGGACAATGGTCTCATGGAGCCAGTACGTCAGCCAGTTTGGAACTCAGAAGCGCTATACACAAACACGGTACTGAAGCAGCTCTGTGCATCGCGTCATACGAGCTCCTTGCCTCAGCCAGTTTCCATGCCCCAGCAGAACCAGCAACCCAGTCGAGGCAGTGCTGGCAGTTCTCTGCCCCATATCTGCACACCGTGCCGCAGAGCTGCCCTGTTTCCCCAGTGCCTGTAGGCAGCCCGAGCTGCCAGGGGGGCAGAGCGCCAGTGGGGAGCTGCGGGAGCTGGGGAACTAAGGACAAAAGAAGAGAAGAGAGAATGAAAGGCAGTGGTTTCTTTTTGTATAGAAGCAGCCAAGAAGAAAGAAAGATTACAGCATAGCGTGCATGTGTGCTTTATTTTATTGCACTGAGATGGAAAGAGTAAATATAGTGTTTTAGCCACTTGGTCCTCTGCACAGATTGTAGCTTTTATGCCAATGCAGTTTTAAGGATATACATGTACTGTAACTATTAGTTTTGCAGAGCAACAAGGCAGTAAATTTCAAGCACCCAAAAATGGTATTTAGAAAATTGTATGTTTCTTCTCCATAGTAAAATGCCACAAAAGCTAGCTTCCAAAACCAAAACCCATTTTAAGCCTGGCTGGTACTATGAAACCACAATGGAAGCTCACATGTGCCTGCACTTACTTCTTTGCTTTAGTTTTTCATCGGACTGCATGCAGATGAACTGCTGAGTGCTAAGAAGTCCCAAGCAGCTCTTGCAGCAGTGCTACAATGAGGCTACAGAAACCTTAGCAGGGAAATGATGTGTCAACAGGACGCTGTGCTCAGCTCCATCAGCCACCTGCTTCGTCAGACTCACCTGGGATGTGATTTCCCATGTATTTTATGTGCATCTCATGCAGCCCCACCTCTGTAGGAGCGTATCTCACTGTTACAGTGCCATCCTTGTTATCCACAATGTCTGGTGTATCGGTCTTTCCGGAGGGCATGTGTACTTCACCTATGAAAAGGCACCACGTGAGCCACAGGAGGAGAAACTGCCTGCTTCCCCTCTCCCACCCACAAAGAATTGTCTAGCCATTTTAAGCAAGCAATTGTTAAACTACTTACCCACAGGCACAAACAGGAGACTAATGGGAACACTAAACAGACATGTTTTTTACTAAAGCTACATGAATACAGCACAGCAGTAGACATCTGGAAGGCAGTTCTGTGACCTTACAAACTCCACAGGCAGGGCTGCTGGCTGCAGCCTCTGACATTTGCATGGAGAGCCCAGGAAAGGCACCGATGTGCTTCACTGCAAGATGCTCTCCCTCTGCAAACAGGGACAGAGCATGGCCTGGGGAGGGATGGCTGAGCCAGAGCAAGAGCACCCAGCCCACACATGAAGCTCAGCACAAGAGGGTGCTGCCAAGTGATGCTTGTGCAGAAGAATCATAGAATCCTTATGGTTGGAAAAGACCACTAAGGTTCTTTAGTTCAACTGTTGAGAAGGCTTGACTGTTTTGGAGAAGGGACATGGTGGGGCAGGGGCCAATCAAGAATGTACAGTTGCTCTGGAGGGTAAAAATCAGCAGCTGGTCCTGCAGTGCAGTACTTCCCAGCCCAGCCCCGAGGGCTGCAGCAGCACCAAGAATTCAGAGCATCACAGGCGTATCCCAGTCAAACCCCAACGGGTGCCACTTGATGTGAAATTAAGCAACTGAGTTCCTGGCGTAATACAATTCTCCTCCACATGCTATGGTCTCGACCACACAGACTGCTAGCTGCAAATGCACAAACGCGCTCACAAAGGGCAAAGCATTCCCAACAATCTCCACATCCTTTGGTACCTGTTATTTCTCCTTTCCTCACAGCAAAGGGGATAACCATATCGAAGGGCCGGAATCCCATGCCGTTCATGTCGCCAACTGGTACGTAAGCCTCTTCTGTGACCTGTGGGAAGCAAAAGGCTCAATCACATCACAACCAAAGGCAGCACAAGGGAGCTGAGCACTGAGCCACTCCGCTGTGAGCAGAAGCAGGACAAGGCGCGGTGATTATGGCGGTCAGCAGCCACGGGCTGGGGCCCAACTAGAGCATCCCGTCAAGCTTTCCTCCATAACACCACATCGCAGAGCAGAGCAAATCAAACACGGTGCGGATGGAAGGCATGCTGGAAAAAAGTGAGCGGTCAACATGGAATGCAAGAGCGTGGGAGGCAACGCAGCGCACACAAGACCCAGAGTGGCTCCATCGGAAAGGATTTAGTTGCTTAAGGCCTGGAAGAGAAAGTGATTTGAATGTGGCAGAGTGATTGCAACACAAAATTGACGACAGAAACAAGTTTCACAATGCGACTCTGGACTCAAGACACGGTGCTATTTCACTGGGAAAACAGAGCAATGCGGTCAGGTTGCTTTTGCCAACAGGAGACATTGCAGAAGTAGAAGCTGTAGATGTAATGATCCTCTTCGTTTTTAGGATGTTACTGAGAGTTTACTTGGAGACTCCCTTCAAGCAGCATGGAAAAAACAGGTCTGGATTCCGAGAACAATTGATCAAATAGAAAGAATGAATACAATGACCAGAAAGAATCAAGCAGTCCCAAGAAGCAGGCTGTCATCTGAAATGGAACACAGATGGGGGAAAACAACCAAAAAAAAAGTAAAAATTGTGTACCCAAGGGCGGAATCCGGGGGGGGGATGCACCCACTGTCTCCTGCGACCGCACAGCAGCATCATCTGCATCTACAGCCTGGTTGGTGGTAAAGGCAGGTTAGCATCGCTCCTGTGTCAGCACTCCTCGTGTTTCACACAACATGACCTGCCTGCTGCTGGGCACCTTCCTCCCACCACCCACACCCACCACGGAGATGCGGGAGACAGTCACCCATACAGCCAAGGGACAAAGCCACCTCTGGGAGGCTTGGAGGGAAGCTGGAGAGCAGCACCTATGCTTAGTTGGAACTGAGTTTCAGAGATGCTTCTTTATGGGACTGGCATAGGAAGGGAGGTGAAAGGCTAAGGCCTGAGACTCTGTGCACAACCCAGCCCATGCTCAGCCATGGCCCCTGCTACCCTTCTGCACTTTGTTTCCAAGCTTTTGCTCAAAGGGCTTCTGTGAGTCCTCAGAGGCACCTAGTTTGCTCCCAGCAACACACAGGGGTTTTGTTTGCTTTTTGAACCTAAGCATGCTGAAGGATTGTACGTGGGAAAGGATATAATTACGAGGGGAATTTGGCTGTAACACTTTAGCAAGCATTTGCAAATCATTTTTAAGTGTGAGCTAACAGCCCGCTTCCTTGGGATCTGTCAGCACAGTTTCTTACTTTGGGGTCAATGTTATAGAGTGAAAGACGGACAGCCAGAGCACTGTAGCTGACAAGAGCTGAAATAATTGGTCTTAGAGGCTGATTACAACCACTCTTACATCGTTTAGAAAAAGAACTACGTAGTCAGGAAATGAAACATTCTGACCAGAGCAGCTAAGCTTTCACCCTCTGATGGCTCACCTAACTGCTCCAAATAACAAGGAACAAGGACCCATTAGCTCCTGCTGGTCTAATAAATGCCTACAAAAATTTACATGCACGCAGACTTAACCTATCACTGAATAAAACGTGGAAGCAGGAATCTGAGTGGGAGGTATCTGTGAGCAGAGCTGGCTTACCATCACAGTGAAAGGACTGTTGGGAATGTCTACCCCACCGAAGCGGACGTAAATCACGTAGGTTCCTGGTTTGGCAGCCGTGTAGAAGATATCATAAGTCCCGTCCTCGTTTTCAACAACATCTGCCTCAGCTTCTGTCCCATCTGGCGTCAGGACGGTGCACGTCACTTTTCCCTTCCCTGCTGATTTGGCGTCCACCACAAAACCAACCTCCTCACCAGTCCTCACTGTGGGTGCAATTCCAGGACCTGCAAGGCAAGTTTTGGGCAGAAATCATGCAGAGGGCTGCCTCAAGGCAGGCAGCCTGGCACCAAGCACCCCACAGATGCTCTGGGGAGCAGATGTACTGCAGGGACACTCGCAGTGGGCACAGTAGCAGCCAGGGCCACGTCTCCTTTTACGTTACCAGCAAACCATTTTCCGCTGTTTTGCCACACATCCAAAAAAATCATGAAACAATGCCCAAATCGAGCAGATCCAGCCTGAGGAACGCTGTGTTTAAATGAGAGCTATTAACTCGTGCTTGCAGTGTGTATTTGAGACTTGTGTTTTTGACCGCCGCTTGTTACCGGGTACATGGCTCGCTTTCAAATGGCAACAAACCTGTCATTTTAATACCTGAGCAGTATTCCAGCATCCACTCCTACAGTGATTGCATTTCAGCTTTGCAGCAGAGAGTCAAAGGCACTTCTTGGAAATGGGAAATTTAAACTGGCATCTAAGAAGAACTGCCATTAGCGCTATTATGAATAGTTAGCAACTTGAGTTACTTGGAACAGCATCAGATTGAGCCATTAAGGCCTCTTTTAAACAAATTTTGAAGCAAAGGGGATACCTGCCACTCTGTTTTTTCCATTGTGGCAGGAACATATTTCTGGTTTAAACAGGCCTGAGAGCAGCCAGCTGCTGGCCTGACACTGGCTACGCTCTCATGCACAATTCAGGTCAGCACAATGCTCAGACACTCTCACACGTCTACAACCATAGATTAAGTTTCCCCTGTTCAATCTGGCCTTGCTCAATTTATTTATAAATCCTGGACCTAACATTCAGTGATGATACCATAACTAGTTCCTACCCATCCTGCTCCTCCCCATAGTCTCTGGCTGGCTGGGAGGTGGCTCAAAGCTGCATGGTGACCATCTGACCTGAGAATGGGTAAGGGCTGTAGCTATAAATGAGCTCCAATGGCAACAAATTTGAAATCCCTCCCTTATGTCGAGGCACTGATTTTTGAGCATAGTAACTTCTTAACCTTGAAGATCCCCTTTTTTTTTTTAAACCCCTTTTCCAAAATTCCACCTTCACTCTTGATCAGACGGAAAGGCAGCAAAGAACACTATCAGTAATACCTAGTTTGAACAGGATTGCTAGCCTTGAAGCACACAGCCAACTACTTACACCCCCCAGCATTAATTCTGCTTTTGTTCAGAATGAAAAGCTTCTTGCAATGCTAGCAGTGCAAGGAGCCTGAACACAGGGAACATGTGCAGATGTGTTATTTTTAAATCAACCTCACTGCAATTCTCAACAGAATTTACCTAGGCCAAAACAAGCATCAAACTTCAGTTGCATCTGGCTCTTTATAACAACACCCCAGGCAGTCTGAAAGATTTTGCTGGAGACTACAAGAGATTCCTGTTCACCCATGGGGTGGAGGGTTCTTTATCTTTATGAAAACCCCTCTTGTAAGAGCAGCCAGATTACACAAGACTCTCATGTGTTCTACCACAGCAAATCCCTTGTGCTTTTTCTCCCTTCAAATTAGCACTTTTTAAGAATTCCCTCTCATTAGACGGTGCACAGGGAGCACGTGCAGCCTGTCACACCAACTGCACAACCCTCTGATGGGTAACAACAGCAGTAGACCCTAGCACACACCTGTGGCCAAACACTTGCTGGCATCCCCCGCTGGAGACGCCCGGATTCGGTAGGGAGAGGATGGGATGTCATCCCCTCCGTACTTCACACCAATCGTATAGCGGCCCGTCTTGTCAGGGACGTAGGTCACTGTGTATGTGCCATCCTTGTTGTCGTGAATGTCCACTCTCTTGGGCTTGCCCTCCTGGTCCTGAGGAAAGCAAAGCAGAAGATTGGGTGTTCTGAAGTCAGTTAGGATTCTCTTCAGCAGGACAGCAAACCTGTTCACAGTGATACTTAGGAAGTCTCAAAGGGGATCAGAAGTGAATCGCTAGGAATGGACTTCCAGAAGCAAGGACATGTCAGATTACTGTAAAACAGTCAGGGCGATCAGCAACAGTCCTCTACGTGATACTGAGCAATGCTCCTTAGTGAGAAACTCAGCTCCTGAGAGCTTGCAAGGCCTGCACTTAAGAACAGGCCCTCGCAGTCCCTTCAACTACCACTTTTACACTATATAAGGATATATAAGGATCTGTGCTTTAGCACTGAGCTTTCTTATCTAAAACCACAGTTAGCACCCTGCAAAACGCTTCTGAAGAACCCCCAGCTTTCAGAGCAATTTAGCTGCAAAGCATGAAGCACTTTGGAAAGCCCTCCAGAGTTGTTGACACAGAGGGCTACATGTTGACACCTTCCTGTAATGACTTTAACTGACAAGAGTAGAGTACAAGCTGCAAAGGACTTGAGATTTCATGTACAGTGTGAAAGAGCTCCCTCTTTCCAGAGAAACATTTGACATTCAACAGTTCAGAACAAGAAATTGTAGCAAACAAATGCATTCCCACCACATAGGGCTTGTAGAACTTGATCTTCAAAGCTGTAGCCATGCTGGGAGCTCTGATAAGTAATACAGATCCTTCAAAGGCACACTTGCATTCCAGAATAAAGCCAATCACTTGGCAGCACCCTGAGCAGATGGGATAGCATGGGAGCAAGAATGCAGAACAGCAAGTACAGCCGCCGTGCCATGACCTAGGCATGCCAGGGCTGAGAAACATGCTTTATGGCCCACTAAACAGAGACCTTTCTGCAGAGGCCACAGAGACCAAGCACCAGAAACTTCAGGGAAAGCAAAAACTACGTCAAGCAAAAACATTCCTGTAGTATCTCTTTAAGTGGCTTATGACTTTGGGTAACCTTGAGGGAAACTTGTTTTTTAATTTCTCAGCACACAGTGCTCAGTGTGGAAGTTACAGTGTGGCCTTGCTGAACCACACTGATAGAAGGCTGTCTCCATCCCAAATTCCATCATTTCTGTGATCTTGTAAGAAGCTGTACTTATCTCATTTGGGTAATTTGCAGAGTGTAAGGTTAATTGTAAGCCACATATAGTACAGAGGATGACTAAGGCAGAGGTGTCCTGCATGGCTTTGCAGTTACTCACAGTTATCTGCACAGTGAGAAGTCCCTGCCCGGCATCTTTAGCATCCACAGCAAACTCCACAGGCAGGCTGGCTGGTATGCCATAGGAACTGAGACCTGGTCCACTCGCTGTCACTTTACTGGCATCATATGTAGGAAGCACCTTCACCTTGAAGGGGCTGAAAGAGAAACCCATTACTGCTTCCTACTCCTAAAACCAAGGCTGATTACTGCAGTACACAGTGGACAGCACGACAGGCACTGGCAGCTACCAGCTTTACCAGCCTTTAGTATTCGCCCAGCCAATCCCTGGAACACAATCAGTCAGGAACTCCTCAGATCACCGACGTTTATCCTTAGCACCTTACCTGCGAGGAATCTCTTCGTCTGCATATTTGACAGAGATCATGTACGGTCCCTCCTGTGTAGGGGTGTACACCACCGTGTGGGTGCCATCTCCATTGTCTACTACATTAACAGGCTCCACGATTCCTAAAAAAGCAACAGATAACTTTCTCAGCTGCACTACTAAAATTCAGTTCCTCATCAGCCATTTGCTGTATGAAGCTCCAAGATGTTCTGCTGATTTACAGTTTACAAAAACCTAGGGTGTTTTTTTTTTTTTCTTTTTTTTTAATTAAATGAATGCAGTCAGCATGGATCAGTTTCCCTTATTTTGTATTCGAGAGCCATTGGTTTAACACAGATCTGTCATTCACTGCTCTTTGGATTTTGATCTTATTGTGAACAATAGCTAGCATGAACATACTGGAGAAAAATCTGCTTTTCTGTAGCCAGGTCAAGAGCAATTGCTCAAAATACATTAAAGGTCCTTCCAGAAAGAAAATGAGTAGGTAATGGTTATAACTGCCTGAACAGCCATTTACAAGATTACACACCGAGATTCACTGCACAGAGTTGAGCCTTAAAGCCAGTTAGTGCATAGCATTCACCAATTTGAGTCTTTCACAATCAGGTATTAAGAAAGGTAGGCTCACTGCCTAGACAGGAGAACCCTGCAAGCTGCCAAAGTTCTAAGAAAGCAGGATCAATTATTTCAATTTCCATCAAGCCAAATCTACTGCGAATTATGTGACATATCAGCACAGATCACACAGAGCAGCCTGCAATTACAAGTTGGCTTGAAAACACAGGAAGGATTAGCAGTGTAGCAAATGCAAAAGAAATATCTAGCTGTCATGGAAAGCCATGAAAGAAGCACAGTTTGCTCCCACTCCTTCCCTCAGGTGATTCTTGCTGTTGCCAGTTAGATTTCTGAGCGCCAAAGCTGCCATTAGTTAGTGAGAGTTCAAACCTGTCACAGTGTCACCCTTTGGACCACCCTTAAGAAAATCCGAAATGCTTTTCAGTGGAGAGCGCCATCCCTGGGAATCCGTCTCATCCACTAAAATCAAAGAACTGTTACCTGGACGGCACTCACACAGGGTGACCTGACCCTAGGACATTGAATTGGCTCCTGCCTGCTAGCAAGGGGCAGAGGGAAAGTCATCAAGTGGCACGACCACCCCTGCGAGCAGGGCCAGGACCCCAGTGCATCCCCACCCCAATGCAGACGGGCACAGCCAGATGGAGCGCTCTGGTTCTCACCTCTGGGTCCTGCCACCACCACCTCCAGGGGTGCTGCTCCTGCCTTGCTGGTGTCCACAGTAAAGGACTGTGGGATTTTGGCTCGAACAGCTGTTCCCAGTCCTGGTCCTGCAATCTTCACCTTGCTGGGATCCACAACATCCTTCACAGGAACCTTGAAAGGACTGCCTGGAAGTTAACACAGCTGGTGTTGAACAACACAGATCGAACAGTTTCAGGAAAATGCCCACACGAATGCAAACGGTTGGCTATCGCTTTGGGAGCGGGCCTCTTTCATAGCACAGGCACTTCCATAGCACTCAAAGACAAGTGACAAAGACAGATAAAAGACAGCACCAGCTCAGCCTACACTACGCACTAAATCAACAAAGAATAAAGTTTCCAGGGCACAAGCAACTGATCAAAACACAGGCTCTCGTTTCCTTCACATCTTATCCATTTCAATACGTTGATGAACAAAAGAGGGCCAACAGGACAGAACCAGCTCCCTCTGAACATCTGGGAAAGGACACCTAGATGAATGCTATATGACAGTGTGTAAGCACACACTGCAGCAAAACGTGCCTGGCATTTAGGAGCATTAATTATTGGTCTTGAGAAAAACATCCTTCTTCTAATTGTAAGCTGCTGGCTGCCAGATGTATCTGGCACACTGCTTAAACCACTTCAGTTTTACATCCACAGCAAACACACAGACAAATGCTTGTTTTCAGAACAGTCACTGCCTTCTGCAGTGATCAAAACTTGCAGCATTTAATATAATCCCTTTGGCAATATATGCTTAATATACTGTCAGTTCCCATGACAATATTTAAATGTAATCTCCATTAGACTATTTCACTGCAGAACAGCCTTGAAGACACACAGATGAAAGGGATTATTTTCTTAACCCAACAAGTTGCGCATTACTAAAATCATGTATCCCCTGCCCCAACACAACAGAATGGGCTGCATCAGTTGTCTGTCAAAGCTAGTATCCCTTTTTCTTACTCCACCCATCTGGATGCACTTCTTTGCTCCTCTCACCCAGATGCTACAATTTCTGCCTTTATTTTCAGGAAAAGCAGAACATCAAAACCTCAACACCCCCCAAGCGAAAATAAGACACAGCAAAGGCACCAACTCAACACTTTCTTTCCTTTGGAAATCACTGCACAAGTGCTCTTACCAGGAATATGCTCTCCCCCATATGTAATATTGACATCGTAGTCTCCTGGAACATAAGGAACGTACTCAGCACTGCAGCTCCCATCCTTGTTGTCTTTACAGCTGATTTTAGACTCTGAAGGTCCCTCAACAGTTATTCCAAGGCCACCGATTCCTGCCCCCCTGCAGATGAGAAAGGCACATTGTTAGAATTACCCCTTTGCAGCAGCAGCTTCACAGCACTCACGCTACATTTCTGCCCTTACTGGAAAAGCAGCAACCTGACTTCTGATGCCCTGCCTTTAGTGTGCTCTGGAATGCAAAGCAGTTCAGCATAACCTCACTGACATTTCCCAGAATTGTATCCCCAACCATTATCAGCTCATAACCTCTGCAGAGCAGAGAGCTCAGTAACCTATCAGATAGCAAACACATTAATCAAGAGGACATAGTTTGGTTATTTTATAAATATTTGTACTGGTTTTAGGATCTTATGCTGCACAGCCCTCTATGCACCTCCCTCCCTCAGATATTCTCGAAAGATCAAGTTGGCCTGGTTACCTGGTGACAACCGAAAAGGCATTAGGCTGATTTGTGAAAGCTTCTTTGAGTCCAGGTCCTTGTGCCTTAACACGTGATGGATGGCAGCCCTCTGTCACATTCACTCTGAAGGGACTGTTTGGCACAGGCACGCCATCATATGTTACACTGACTGTGTGTGGACCTGTTAGAGGAGGAAAACATGATCTGAACTCCCTAAATATTCTGTTTGCATCACTCCTACATGATTCTACAGATTTGGATGTCAGGAGGTAGATAAGACCTTCCTCCTGCATTTCACAAGACCTTAGCAACGTTTCGTAACTGAGAAGCCATCTATGTGCTGTTTTGAAGATAAGCTACTGTAAGTCATTTCTTCAAGTTAAAACAGTAGGTATTTCCTGCAGAATTAGCTCCCCCACTTGCAAAAATCCCGCTGAGAACGCCAAGGAGTTACTGGCAGACCTCAGCAGTTTGCCAAATGAAAGTATCAGAAGCGTTGCTTGCTGCTGGTTTTCCCCTCTTGAGTTTTCTTTTTTTTTTTAAAAAAAAAAAGGACAACAAACAACCACAGAGGTTACCCTTTTCAAATGGTGTGTACTCCACTGCGTACGTCCCATCAGCATTGTCTTGGATCTGACAGTCTGTGGGGGAGCCGGATGGGCTGGTGATCTGTGTCCTGATGTGGTCACCACCAGCTTTCGTTAGAGGTCGGGCATCCACAGTGAACTCTGTTGTAGCTTCTCGGAAGACATCTGCAGGATAATGTTTTGAAGAGTCATTTCAAGAAGCACACGCATTTCAGACAGCAGAACATTCTGTGAACCAGCAAGATAAACAACATTTGGGAACATAATGAAACATCCCCTTCAAGGGTCGCCATGGGAACATGCAAAGCTATTACAACTTGCATTGCTCAGAATTGTTGGTGCCGGGTAAAGGATCTTAAGTCCTACGAACTCTGGTAACAGGAACAGGGTTGCTCTTACCTTTCCCTTCCACTCCCGGCCCAAACACTTTAACTCTGCTTGTGTCCACAGCTGGCTCCACTTTGACCCGGGCAGGGAATTTAGGCACTTGCTCTCCTCCATATTTCATCTTGATGGTGTACATGCCAGCTGAGAGCGGCACATACGTCACAACGTAGGTCCCATCCTTGTTATCATCGATCTGGATCTCAGCTTTGGAACCAGTATCTGACACTATGTCCACCCGCAGGTTACCAGGACCTGCTTCTGTACAGTCAACATTCAGCAGCCCTGCCTCACCTACTTTGCCACGTTCAAGACCTGGTCCTGTGGCAATGACTTTAGAGACATCAAACGGCATTTCTATGTCTGCTTTGAACGGCGAGCCAGGAATGTGAACTTCTTCAAAGAGAATGTTTACGAAGTACTCTCCAGGCTTGGTAGGCAGATAGGAGACAGAGCAGGTTCCATCACCATTGTCTGAGCATTCAATCTTAGCTTCACATGGACCTTCCACCGTTAAACCCAAACCTCCAGTTCCTGCCCCTTTGGTATCTATTGTGAATTGAGCTGGTTTTCCAACGAGGCCTCCTCGAAGACCTGGCCCGTGAGCTTTTACCTAGGAGAGAATATGCAGCTCAGATACTAATTCTTTCATACTGCTGTACCACAGATGACCTTAGACAGACTAGTTAATACGTAAGACTTGACTAATAAACTCTTAAAAATACATATAAAGCAAAGTTTCCTTTGCCACTCCTCCCAGTCTTAACATAAAGCTGGTATCTCTTTCTCCAAAGAAGTTTCTAGGCAGATATTCATACCCTTGCCACAGCTGTTTTTATGTGACACTGAACGTAAGGAGTAGGCATGCTGAATAATGGATAGCTGTATGGAACTACTCTTGAAATTTATTTCTCTGCAAAGAAGCATCTCAATTAATACATTTGATATGTATTACGTTGGTCATGAAACCAACTTCTATTAAGTTAGAACACATGCATATGCCACACCGTGCAGAATGCTTGCAGTATTAGTTCAAAGTTATTCCAAGTATTCCAATTCTTAACAATTGACTTCCATGAGTCATGGAGTCTGCGAATGAAACTGAAATGAAACAAGCTCTGAGAAAGGATGTTCCAGGGTCTAGTTTGGCCAAATGTAAGTTGGGCATCATGTGACAGCCCAATTCACATTTCGGTTACTAGCTGTTGTTACAGCCATTACCATTTACTTACCTTGGAGGGATCTGGAGGCAGAGTGGCCTCCACGGTATAGGGGCTGCCTGGGATTGGATTGCCATCGTAGCTCACATCCACCACATACAATCCTTCCTCTCTTGGGATGTATTTTGCTGTACTGCACTCCTTACCCAGAACTGGCTCCACCAGACATGGTACAGCTTTCCTCATAGGACTGGAAATGTTAACATCCAGTTTACCTTGTCCACCAGCTCCTCTCGTGTCAATTACAAATTCTTGATCCTTCCCTACTTCCACTCCTGAAAAAAAGACAGAAAAAAATACCTATATTACTACACGAAGTATCGAGTAGTTGACAACACTCCAAGAAATCTCTTATGCAATATTAGCAAGGGAGCAAGCACTGCCAGAACGCTACTCAGTCTACATCCTTCCACATGAAAAAGAAAAAGAAACAAAATGCCTTGGTTAATCAGCAGCAACAAAGAGACAGTGCTAAACAAGGCTGTAAGGCATGGCCAGACAGTAACGAACACAACATTTTACAGCCCTTGTTCTGCTTTCAGAAAACGCGACTGTATGAATGAAATTCCACACTTAAGATGTTACATCTCCTTGAACAGTGATCTAGCTCCAGAGAAACCAAATTATATCAGCAAGTTGCTGGTCTGGTGAGGAGTCCAGCCTCATTCATCACCAGAGAATTTACCCCAACACTAACCTTGCCCACACTGTACACACAGCTGGTTTTTCCCCTTAATACAACAAGTTAAAGAAAATGTGTTTTGCCCCCATACGTTTCAGTGGTACACATCAGCTGACATACTGAACAAGAAAACACTTCAGAAGTAGGCCATGGGGCTCCCAAGCCCATGTTGTACTTACTGTTTTCAAGTCCGTTAACTTTAACTTTGCTCAAGTCTAGTGGAGCAGCAACTCCCACAGTGAAAGGGCTTTTAGGGATAGGATCTCCACCGTACGTTACCAGAACCTTCATTGGTCCCTAGTTGGAGAATTGATGAGTTAGCTCAGTGTCTCACTTCACACAGATGCATAATACATAACCATTTCATCACCTAATCCATTTTGGCTGGGTGCTGCAGACAGGTATTCTGCCCCACTGCACCACAGCCACACCACAGCCCAGCCTGCGCCGAAGCTGCTTTATTATGGCATTTCAAATACCAGGGCTTTAAGCTGTACAAGTCAGAAAGATTAATGCTCTTGTGTATTTTGGCTGAAATACTGCACAGCTACGGCAAGTTTCAGCCCAAGATGTGTGTTCCTTTTATTCTCTTCTACCACAGTCCATATTTTAGCTATACTCACTGTTTGCTTACTTTTCATTCTTGGCCAGTACAGCTCCCAAGTGAAATAATCACGGATATTTCACACAAGTTTGTGAATAGCTTCCATGATTATTCTTAGCTGTTTTTGGAAAACACACACACGGGTAGCTGTAGCAACATCACACGTGAGAGAGATAAGCCTGAGCAAACAGCATTAAACCAAGGTTCCTTCACTGCTGACACGGCCCCTCAGGAACTTAACTACCTAGCCAGGCCTCCAAGCACTCCATAGAGTCCAGAGTCTCATCGATCTGCTCTTAGATAAGTTCCTGCTGACAAACCCTAGGAAGGCAGGGTTCAGGACTGATCTACGTGTTTGCAGCCTGGAGGGAAAGCAAGGATACTATTTACCACGCAGCTTAATTTCACTTTTTACTAACCACTGTTCTCCTGCCACCACTACCTGTGAGCATCTCCTGTAGGGCTACAGCTCCTCTGTGACCCAAGGTGCTCCCTCAGATGTGAGATTCCAGCACGCACACACAGCTACATGCTCACAGTCCAAAGCCAGGGAACTTGTTCTGACTCACTATACAAACACTACCAGCTGAGATGCCCCCTATAGCACTGCAGAGCTATCCCTACAGCATCCAAACTGCCACAGTCCAAAGCTCTGTTCTTACAGACATGAAAAGCAGCCAGGCCTGCCCATGGCTTAGTGAAATCCAAACTCATTCACTAATGAAACTATCTCTCCTGAAGAGGTAATGAGCCAGAGGGTTTCTAAATCTGGCAAAGGGGTGCAGTAATCCTGAGCACAACCCCTGCAGGGGATACCAGGTTGTGGTACGTGCCCTGTCTCACCTTTGAATCATAGAATCATAGAATCATAGAATCACCAAGGTTGGAAAAGACCTACAAGATCACCCAGTCCAACCGTTCACCTATTCCCAATAGCTCCTACTAAACCATGTCCCTCAACACAACATCCAGTCTTTCCTTGAACACCCCTAGGGTTGGTGACTCCACCACCTCCCTGGGCAGTCCGTTCCAGTGCCTGACCACCCTTTCTGAAAAGTAATACTTCCTCATGTCCAGCCTGAATCTCCCCTGCCGTAGCTTGAAGCATTTGCTTTCTGCATGAAGCATTTACTGCTCTTGCACAGCCGCAGAGTTGCTCTCTTCTGCACACCAACCCTGACTGAAAAAGCAAAAGCCTCTCCAAACAGACACACCAACCACATCCTCAGACCATGCAACTGCTTTATCCAAAAACAAATGCTAGCTCTGTGATGTGTCCAAGAATGCTAATCCAGCACTATCAGACAAACAGTGCTGCAGGCTTCTGTGTCAGTTCATTTTTACACAGCTACATTCAAGGAAGTCAGCGTGGTTGACTAAGTAGCTCACTTGTTTGCTCAGCGGAGTATAGTCATCAAAACACTTTCATCTCACCACTACAGTGCCTAAGTCTTTAAAAATACACATGAATTGAGCATAGCATAAGGAAAACTATTTCCAGTTATTAGCAGCTTCCACTTTAATGGTGTTGCTAGGAAGTATCTGTCTGAACCAAAACAAGTTCAACTAAAGTTTTTTCAACCCATGGGCAAACCTCAAATACAGGCAAAATACTCCGGCCTGTTTAATCTGTGGCCCAACTTCCCTGCCCAATTCTTTCACTTCTCTGTTTGGAAGTTACTCAAACACTGTACTTTTTTTTTTTAACCACACTCCAGTCTGCAGCTGAGCAGCAGCAGGCTGACAGCCACACCCCACAGCCCAGCAAAGCAAGGGGTGGCAGCGCAGGCTGGCCATGCAGCAGCTGGCCTCAATTCAGATCCCAGAATTGCCACCTTTCCCTTTCAACTGATAAGGCAGCAAAAAGATACCACCATTGTGCAATGGCAATATGAGCCACGTGCTGCTACTTCAATACCTCGCTTGGTCCCAGAAAAGAAAACAGTGACAAGCCGACAATAACTAAACCAGAAATCCGTGCCTCTGCTTTCCAATCCCCACTGTCCCACAGGCTTTGTGTTAGGGGAACAGGACACCAGGTTTTAACTAGAAGTCCTCCTGTGCACAGCACCAGGTCACAGTGCTACAGCAACATGAGCTGCTCCCTTTTGTATTTTGGAGTGCCCAGACCTACCTGCTGTATTGGAGTGTACCGGACAGTGTGGGAATAGTCGTAGTTGTCAATGATGTCCACATCTGCCACCACCTCTCCTGGCACAGGGCTGCTGAACTGCACATCCAGGGGCGCCTTCCCAGCTCCTTTCGTGAACACAGTGAAGTGGGTTGGCTTGCCATTTTCCACACCTGAAGAAAAATGTTAATTCATGCAGAGCTCGCACACAGAAACTCTTCCCAAGAAGCACTCAGTACCTATAAATCCCACTCAAGTAGAAAGCCAAGAGAACAGAGTCCTTTCCAGTCGCCTCCCACCCCTACCAGCTGCAGCCAGCACCACACTGCTGAACCCCAGCAGTGCCCAGTCACGCAGTGGCTGCCCACAGCATTGGCTGACAACACCTCCACCTAGATCTCACCAGTTTTGCTCAGCCCAGGTCCTTCAGCTTTCACTTTGCTGGCATCGTGAGAGGGGTCCACTTTAACTCTGAAAGGACTGGCAGGAATTTCCTGCAACAGAAATACAGCTCTAAATAAAACCAGGTCACTTCTCATTACTCAAACTAGACAGATAAAATTGAAGCAGAAGCATCTTAAAACAGTTGGCTCCAGCAGCCTCTCACTTAAATGCTCCACCTTACTGGTGGCAGCACTCAAAGTTAACAGCTGGTCTGCTTGCATGGGCTTTTCCTACTTATTTCTTTAACAACTTATTTTCATGCCTATTCCTTGGATAGTAATTTAAGTTTTCTACCATGTAGAAACTAGCATTGCCTTGCCTCTACAGCCAGTAGGTAAGCTAGCACCGATACCACACTGATTATGCCAGCCAAATGCATCACATGGCTTGACTCTGATAGTCAACGTTTGTCTTGTTTGTGTACATTCAAGTACTAGAGAAGAGTTTTAAAAACAGCAACCAGACAAGGTGCATGTGGGCTGGAGTGAAGGGAGTCACCTGTACACTGCCACACTCAACCATTAAGTGGCAGGTGGTGTGTGGGGCGGAACAGATAAACAGACTCTGAAAATATCAGCCTGTAAAATGAAGATTACATACCTCTCCTGCAAAAAGCACCTTAATAGTGTAGCGTCCTGCAGCAGGTGGTGCATACTTCACTGTGAATGTATCATTAGCATTGTGGATAATGTCAAAATCTATGTCCTCCTCTTCGTCGCTGACCACACGAGCATCACACTTAATTCCAACACTGACATCACCTAGGAAAAGCCAACAGAAGTTTCACTGGATGGTACAGATGCTGCTAGCCAAATAACCAGCACATTCCTACCAACTGATAAAATTGATCATATCACAACTCATTTTCACATTCTACTTCCCAAAGTTTTTTTATTAAGAAAAAAAAAAAGCATAAAAAAAACAACCAGAACATAAAACCCAACCATGCATAACCTGCAGGATACCACAGCAATAACCCAATCTGCCTTTACCTTCTCCAGCATCTGTACAGTCAACAGTGAAGTGAGTTGGCTCACTCGCTTTCAGGCCAGTTCTCTCCACGCCAGGCCCAAACACTTTCACCTTCTGAGGATGGCTCCCCTGACCTATCAGGACCTGAATGGATTCACAAGTGTCAGAATTACACTCCTGATTCATGCCCAAGATCACAGTCAAACTGAAGCATTGCTTGGGCAGAAGCTACATGAAAATAGCACCAAGTTAAGAACAAACTGCCCTGATTGCTCCAGGCTGCAGCTGGACTGATACAAGACATCCAGCATGCGAGATTGTAAAATCAGAAAGCTCTTTTCAACAGGAAACATGCCCATAAAAGACAGCAGAAGGGCACACCGCTTTCAAGTTCCCAAAAAGGTTTTATCACCCTTGTAACAACAAGCAGTTGTTACAATAATGTTCTACTTACCCTAAATGGGCTATTAGGCACGTTGGCTCCTCCCCAGACAATAGAAATAGTATGTTTGATTGGTTTAACTGGCACATAGGAACAGGCAAACACACCGTCAGGCTTGCTCTTCATCTGGATATCAATAGGGTTTCCTTCTCCATCCTAAAGAGTGATCAGTACAAGCAGCAGTGAGCACAAGTGGCAGAGAGTACAAGCAGAAGGTTCAGGCATCTTACAAGTATTTGTATAATTCAAACATCTCAAGAGACTGCTCCAAAATCTTGTTCTTTCCTCAGAAGTACAGCTCAGAAACATTGAAGGAACATGCAGATTGCACTCCTGTAAGCCTTTTTCATCTAAATGGCTTATTTCTCACACCATCTCACAACACTTTAACAAGTTCACCTGAGATTCACAAGCCCTAAATACTTCAGGTCCTTTTGAATGACATCTTGAGAAAATTATAGTCTGCCTTTCTGAGGAGGCTCTGAGTGCGAAAGCAAAGCCACACACTTCAGACTCAAGGGGAGAAGTCACCCTGTCTCAAGTTAGATTTGCTGTCTGACTACATTATATGGATCAAAGCACAGAGCTGCAACAGAATTGCAAATGTTCAGAAATAAGCAGTGTGTAATCCAGCAGAAATACTCAGGGCATTTTTCTCAATGACATTAAAGCCCTTTTGCTGGAGCTGCCTTTGGCTTTTTACCTGTGCATATATCTTCAGAGGTGCTTTCCCACCATCCTTGGTTTCAACTGTGAACTCAGCAGGATTGTTCACTATGCAGCCACTTCTCTCCAAGCCTGGACCATAAGCCCTCACCTGAAAACAAAACCAGTAGTCTTAGCTTGCAATTCAGAAAGAGGTAAAGTGATTTATTTCTACAAACCTCCTCTTCCTACAGACCTCAAAAAGCATGGGATACAAGTAGAGGCTAGTGTGAAAGCTGAGAATTTTGACTACTTCAGCAAGTTTGCATTACATTAAATTGAAACCACAGCAGTGTTATTAGAAAAAGCTGAGTAATATCTGGCTGGAGCATACAAACACAGAGCTTTAAATAGAGGCAGCTTAAGAGTCAAACGTGTTACCAGCAGCCTTTAGAAGCACCTCTGTAAGAGTTCTACCAAACCACATTATGCTCCAGTGAGCAGTTTACACCACCTTATCCGGGTTGAAGTCTCCCGACGCCGGTCGGATGAAGGCCATGTAGGGGCTGTCCTTTATGTCTTCATCATCACACATGATGTGCACAGCGTATTCACCAGGCTCTTTGGGCCAATACTTCACATCACATGAGCCATCGTTCTTGTCATCACACTCTATTTTAGCCTGAGAAGGACCTTCTATTGCAAAGCCTGAAAAAGAAATGCTTACTTACCAATTGTGCTACAGCTGTGACGGCTGCTAATCTAACACTGTTCCCACAAACTGCTTTTTTAAGCTGTATCCATAACTGATGCTTGCTATCTCTCTTCTTCAGCACCATGTGCAATAATCTATCACTTCCTTCTGTATCTCATCCCACAAAACCACATCCCACAAAACCACAGTCCCCATCCCATGCTGTGATAGCTGTTGTTTCTCAGGAGTTTGTTACCAGCACTGCAATATCTAAGTATTTCAGGCGAGCTAAGCAAAGTAACATACCAAGAGAACCAACTTCTGTGCCAATGGACTCCACCACGAAGTCAGCCGACCTGCCCACAATCCCTTCATGCAGTCCTGGCCCCCAGGCTCGTACTTTCTGAGGGCCTGCTTCATGACCTATGTGAACTTCAAAGGGGCTACAAGAAAAAGAAGCACAATTAGAAACATACAGACTGCATGCTTTTCTCCCCAGGCATTTTAATGAGGCTTTACACTGGACTTCCCAAATTAACAGATGCTATCTTGTGGTGGCACAGCGCCCAGCAGGCCCTCTAGCAAAGAGGTCATCTAACCTATCACATACTTACACTTTGCACAACAGATCCTAAGTGTCAAATATTTGGTTTGCTCTGCTTGCTGTAGTCCCTGACAATAAAACAACAGACCTCTTCAAAAACTCAGAGTCAAGTCCAAGCTGCATGAGCTACCAAAGTTTATTATTTTTTTCGTACTCATCATTTTGGGTTTAGTAAGACTAATGCAAATCAATCTCCCAAGTTTTCCCAAAGCCTCTGCAGCCCTAAAACACGCTGTTAGATAAAAAGCCAGCCAGCCATGCAAACCCCCAAAGGACACAAAAAGCTCAAACAAAACTACTCTTCACTCACCTTTTTGGGATGTTGTGCCCACCCCACGTAATCGTGACAATGTACTTCCCTGGGGTAGCTGGATAATATTCGAATGCATATACACCATCCATAAAGCCTTTCTGTTTCACAAGCTCCTCCAAGCCCTCTGTTGAAAGATCAGTTCAGCATTAAACTTAACAGCTTCCATCCTGCCGTCAATTACGCAGGCACATTCATGTTTTCTAGTATTTATTTTAGCTTGGAAGAAAAAAAAAATCTTCCAACAGAAAAGAAAAAAAAAAAAAAAGGTCAGGTTATAAGGGAAGTTAGTTCTAGTTGCCCTCTAGGACAAAGACAGCAAACACTTCCAGAAGAAATACAGCAGAAAGTATTTTAAGTTACCAGACTTAATAGGTTCCCTTGTGTTTTATTTTCTTAGTCTGCAGTATGATGCATGTCATATGTTAAAACAAAAAAGCTTAACATTTGTCAGACTTTGCAACCACAAGTATGCAGGGAATGCCTACTTTTCATTTTCTTCAAGATGAAGGATCTAGGGAGAAAAGCCTAATACACTAAAATTTACATCCCTACGTCTGCTGCTTTCTCCCCCTGTAACCGCATTAAAGCCACACAGTCAGAACACTGTGTGTGTGGAGGAGGTGAAGGCAATACAATGCACCTTTTAATACAGACCCAGCCTGGGGGGAGGTGAGTGCTTCAGAGCACAACACAAACAAAGCCAGTTCCTTTGTGGAACTCAGACTTGGCGCAGGGCATGGAGAGCAGAGCACAGCCAACCACGGCTGGGCAGACCCAAGCCCACGGCCAGCGTGCCCACTGCCCTGCTGTGCCACAGTCCTGGGGCCGTGGCAGAGGGAGGGGCTAGGGACTAGATCTGGCACAAAGGTCTCTCCTGCCTCAACACTCTGCCCTCCTGCTCATGAGCTGAGCATTCAGTGCATTCAGGATGCCGCTCTAAGGCATTCCTAGCATTTTGAGAGCAGGATTTCCACCTTGCCAGAGTCACTTTAGTGTGATTTGCTTCCAGAGATCAAAGATGCCATGCAAACCCATAAGGCCAAGACAAACAGTAGTGCCAATTTCCTCAGTTATGCTACGGTGATACAAATCCAACCAGTTCCAGCGGCTACCACCTCTTCACTACTCTTCCTTCTCACAACCCCTCCTTTGCCCCCTTCTCCAAGACACAGTCAGAGCACAAATTCATCCCAACACACGTACTTGGTCCTTTTATAGTCACCCCGAGGTCTCCGCTGCCTGCTGCTCTCGTATCAACCTTGAAGTCGGCTGTTTCTCTGATGCGGACGCCTTTGGGCTGCAGGCCTCTACCGGTGGCACGACAAGCATTCGGATTGCAGGCTGCAAGGGAATTTCAGACATCAATGCAGTCTTTGATTCTCAAAACACATGCAGCCTAGCCAGCTTGGAACAGCCTTTAGTTAAATGTTGACTCAGGGCAACCACAGCTGAGCTTTCAGCACAAGTCTTAATGTTATAGTAGGAAGGAAAACAGATGTGGAGTCTGCCTAGCCATTGTCCATGTCCTGCTGCTTTTGGACAGCAGCATTCAGTACAACCAGGCAACACTGAACCCCTACAAGAGCCACTGTTTAAAGTAAAGCAAACTCTGAAGCCATGTTGCTTTCCAACTTGATGCCAATTTTCAGATCAAAGCTTTTACTTGGCTATCAAACCCAGATATCTGCTGTACTAGGCATAATCTTCTTGATGTTTTTCAGGTTTATAGGCATGCTGCAGCACTGGTGAAGTTTTCCTTTGTAGATAAGCCCTAGTGAACAATATTATTGTGCTGTTCTTTCAGAAGCATGACTGGAATAGCAGCTATTACCAGAGCAAAGTTCTGCATGTGCTTCTTTAAGACATGTCATTTCAACCCCCCTGTGTGTCACAGTTCACACCCACAGCAGCAGAGCCATAAAGTCCTCCACTGATGGAAGCAGCCATAGGTAGGGACATAAGGTTACATATGGCTAAGCTTAAGCTTATGCTTGACACCTTTCACTCAAGTGCTTCTCCAGGCCTGCTGAGTTGCTACATAAACAAGTTAACGTGCACTTATGAACAATTCTTGTTACACGCTCCCAGCTATCAGGTGGTCTTCAATTCCAGAGACCTAAAGGGTTTGAAAAGACTCAGAAATCACAGCTTCCCAGTAGTTTAATCCCAACATGCACTTCCCCCAGATACACCGTGCTTACAGCAAGAACACAAGTCTGCCAAGCTGCTCATTAGGTTTTCGTGTGTTTCAAGAGCTTACAATCCTTTTGCAGCCACATCACTACACGTCCTATGCTGGACAGTACAAGCAAACATTGCATGCCATCTGCTAACTCTGAGAACTCGGTGGGTGCATACATGAGCAAGTCTACCTTGGAGTGAGAAAGGCTCTCAGAGCCCTTACACAATTAAGCCAGGCAGTCTGTGGTTAAGCAAGTTTCACTGACTGGGTCACACAGTGTTTCAATCTGCTTGCAACTTTCTTCCCCATCCCCAACAAAAACCCTTTTGGCTGGGGCAAGCGGCAGGCTAGAAGCTTACAAACAGCAAACATGACAGAGCATCCTGCACACCTCTTACCAACTATGAAGCCATTAGCAGTGAAGTCCAAAATTCCACAAATGGAGGGTAGCTCAGGAGAGATGAGCAGAGATCTAAAAGCATAGGAGCACGTAAGGATGGAACAGAAAGCAAGTTAAGTGTCAGTTCAGGAGGAAAACAGTAAATATAGTCATTTGAGGAGCAAAGGCGGAAAATAGCAAGACATTGCACAGCTGCATAAAACACTCCAAAAAAAAATATATAGATATATCTAAGGGTCAGCTAAATGTTCAGAGGTCTAGGCAGAAAGGAAACTCTTGCACCAAAAGCCACGTGTTTTGTCCAGGTGAACACTCAGTGAATCAGGTCTAAAGTGTTGAAAGGTAAAGAAAATGCCCAAGTCAAGATTCAAGCAAATTCTGTGATCCCATTCAAGGTGAAAAGTGTCCGCCTACATTCAGGCGCATTTTGAAAAAGCATACCCTCTCCAATGAGAACACTGCAAGGAGTTTTGGGAATTGCCTCCCCCGCAAAAGTCACTTTGACAACGTGAGGACCAGCTTGGACAGGTTTGTAGACACAACGATAGACTTGGTTGCCTTTGTCTTCTACTGCAACTTCAGCAAGGCATCTTCCCTGAGGATCCTCCACTTCCACGATCACGTCACCCACACCAGCACCTGCAAAGGAAACCAGCTGAGCTGAGCCTGGCCTTCCCCACAGCTGCGTGTTGTGTTCAGGAAAAGGTCCAGCACTGGGCTCAGCCAACTGTGCTCCACTATTATGCCCTGTACAGTGTAAGCGTTCAGCCTCTGCTGACAGCAACTGGAGGCTGAAGTGAGCTGGGGACAAGGCAGCATGGTGGCACTCTATGAAGCCATAAAACCGACAGGGCTCTGCCAGCCCCTGCACAAGGCTTCACAACTACATTCCATCAGTGGATACACATACAGCCTGGTTATCTCACTGCTACAGCCAATCACAGACTAGCCCACGACTTTCCCAGTTAATTCAAATCTCTCATGTTTTGCAGCAGTTTAGATTAAGATACTGGACAGCACATATCCCTTGGTCTGAACAAGGATTCCTTCTCTGCTGGAGTATACGTACTCACTTCTGCTTGGACACCTGCTCCTTACTGGTTTTTATTTAATTCATTACACAACAAAAACAGTTTTTCAGACACTTTCAGAGGCCAGATGTGCCCGTACATGATTCAGACCACACCCTCACCAATTAGAGACTGAATATAGCACTTCCCCTCATCATAATCACATTTAATTTCACTTCTAAGCACCCTTGGGTAGAATGCAATTTAAGATATGATACTCAGCATATTTCAGCGTTTCAGTACTTCAAGTAGCAGCCCCAAGTAGTTTCGCATTGTTCTAAATGAATTAGCATTTGCAACATCTTATTGAGTCACTCCTCTAGGCTACAGCATTGCCCTAACAGCAGGCTACAAACACGATGGAGATGTTCTAATGAAGATAGTAACCCACTAATAATTAGGAGAGAGTTTCAACCAGTTTGTCAGTGAAACATCAACTCAGTGTAGCACCAGATCAGATTCTTTCTGCAATGCTAAATACAGAACACATTAAGCTTTTACAGTCCATTTACAGTTCATCATTCAGAGGTAGGTACTTCACTTCCCTGTTCAAAAGGAGTAGTGGGAAGAAAACACCCAAGAATTTGCCTGCTGCCATGTGGCAAGCTCATGACAAATTTCAGGGTAACATTTCACATCTTCCCACCCCAACTTAGCTCAACATGCCAAATGCTTCACATACAGCTGAAGCCTCCAGAGTAGCCTGACTATTATTTCACTTCTGAACTCCATGAGTTGAAAATCCTCATTCCTCCAAAACTCAGGTTCTCCTCACATCTGAGAAAGCTGCAGGATTTCAGCATTCATTCATTCTGCTTACCTGCTGTGTAGAGGTCAAAGTAGGTAGGCTTGTTGGCAATGTTTCCTGTTGCCTCCAGTCCTGGTCCCTTCGCTGTTACTTTGCTTGCATCTCCCTGGGCTTTGTCAACATTCACTTCAAAAGGGCTCTTTGAGATGTGTTGTCCAGCAAATAGGACTGAAACCTAGGGACAGACAGCATCAGCTTGATATTCAACAGGGCAAAGCGTGGCTCAGCTGCCCCGAGGCCAAGGCTCTGAATATCTCAGAGGCAAGAGAGACCACACAGCAGATAACCTAGAGAGCTGTACCCATCTTTTCAGGCTGGCCGTATGGACCAGCCACTCATGCAAATGCTAAGCAATGGTATCACCCACCAAAAACCTGCTTCTACAGACCCCTAGTGACAGAGCTGGGTGGAGACCCTTCCTGCAAAAGCCCTACAGCAGACAGCGTGATCAGCAAGGGAACACCTCACAAAAACAACTGGTTACTCTCCTCCACACCTCAGTGACAACCCACAAAACGGGTTTCATGAGCTGCAAGAAGTGGCTCCATGTGAGAGAAAGCCAGCTGTGGTACTGCCTACAAGCCCCCACCTCACTCAACACCCACACACTTTCTCCCAACACATGCACACCCTTCCCCTTGAGAGGGGAATAGCTCAGAGAGAAATAAGGCTACATCAGATTACTAATCCTTCAAGATGCCCAAAGGCTATTACACCAGTAGTAAACATGCAGTCCCCATGGGCTCACCTTAAGCAAGAGAATTCTGGTTATTTGACACACAACCTACCTTGTGAGGTCCAGTAACCTTTGGCATGTACTGAACTGAATAGGTCTTGTTTTTGTCACTGGATGGCATTATCTTTGCCTAGGAAAGAAAACACAGCTGTCTTTGAGCTGTGCCTATGCACAACAGCCTAAGACTTTCCTGTTTGGCATGTAATACTGTGAACAGTCAGCAGTATCAGTGTCATGTTTCTGTGGGAGCAAGTATACTTTCTACATCCTCAATACATACCAAAAAATGATTTGTCTTCAGATGTGAAGCAAGCTATCTTCTCCCCTGCCCTCTCCTTGCTGCTAATTGCTCTACTAAGGCAGGCCAAAACTGAGGAGACATTAAGTCCAATGTACAGCTGTATTTCTCTGGAATGTCGTAATATGATCAAGTGGAGTACTTGGATGAGAAATTTCTATAAACATTAAAACCAGTATTTTAACTCAAAATGATTCATGGCTTCTAAATAGCTGCTTTAGCCATTCTTGCAGAATGAGTAAGGGCAGATAGTGATTTAGTGCAGTGTGTTATCTAAACGCCCATCAGAATGTACTTGGCCAGTCAAGCTAAAGCACTACAACTACTGGACATTTGACTTGTGTTGCTTAGTTGCAGACAGCAAAAAAAATTTCAGGCTCATCCAATAAGGCAATTATGGAAGAAAAGCTTGAAGTTTGCATTTCTGATAGACAGTATTTTGTAACTTTTCTAGATTACTTATCTCGTGGAAGACAACAGTTACTACAAAATCACTGGTGTTTTGACTAGCTTTATGTTCTCCCCACAAAATATTTAACATACGTACCTCTTCCCTGTTTCCTTCTGGATCCTCTACAAAGACCATCAGGTCTCCCTGCCCAGCACTGATGGTGTCTACTGTGAAGATGGCAGGCTGCTTCACCATGTTCCCATGAGGTTCAATTCCTGCAAGGCAGATGAAGAGCAGCGTGTTTGCTACAACACCCAAGAGACAGCTTGCAGACTACCCACCAGCTGCTCAGACTCACCATTCTTCGAAAGCTGCTCAAACAATTTTGCCAATGAAGTCTATAGAAACGGCATGCAGCAACCTCTTCACACCATTAAAATCCTGCAATTCAGCACCACTTCCACCTAACTTAATCAGTTTCTTTATTTCTTAGCACAGGGCCTGCTAGAGCATGCATTTACCATCAGGATTTCATCATATCTCTGCACTTAGCCCCAGGTTGTTACACCTGTCATGGTAGTGTCAGACTGGGTGGGAAGAACTTCCCAAAGTTGCTGGTTCCAGACTAGCCCAAACATATATACCTTCCTTCCCAGAGTATTACTCCCCAGCTTATTCATAAAACCGTGGGCACTCCAGAGTACAATTAGTGGAAAGTGCACTGTCTGATAGATTATAAAGGAAGTGGTTGTGAACAACAGAATTCCTGAGCTTGTTTATCTTCAGAAAACAATAACTTGAGAGCAATGCAAGGAAGATTATGTTTTTACTAGGAAATCTGAGCATTCTGATAAGGTGTTAACAATTGACATATTCATTCTTTCAAACTAACCCTTAGATTATCATCTAGTTTAAACAGCTATAAATTCACTGTGCATATCTTCAGTTGATTGTACGGGCATTAGGACTTGGTATTTGAGTACCCCTCCTACTGCAGGCACAAAGACAGGGACAGCTTATCCCCAGAAGATGGTTTCAGACATGATGGCATTAATCGTAGCACTTTCTTGGCCAACATTTAATCTAAATATCACCCTCTTCTCAGAGATCTGCTTTGGCTGGTTAAATGAGAACTCTTCATGCATCACTCAATCTGCAAAACACCTCTGCAGGCTCACTTCACGTTATGCTTGCAGACAGCTGCCTCAGAAGGAAATTAGCAGTATCCAGGGTGCTTCACCTACGATTCACTTTGGAAAGTGATGAATAACTTACTGCAGTACTTGAAAAAATGTAATAAAAATTAAGACTGAGCAACTTCACACTTGATGATTACCTTATTCTGGAAGCACGAAGAACTGCTACCTATTTGCCCCAAAGAAGCTGCCCAGTTTGGCAGCAATCTCTTGCTGCTGGATTCACCTTCCACTCCTGAAGTGTGTCAGCAGTCAGAACTGTCATTTATACTTAGTGACTCAATTTTGGCATTGAAGAGGGAAAACATTCATCTTTCAATAGCTGCTCATTCACTGTAATTTCCATTTCAATGGCTACAGAGCTCTTGGGCACTGAAGTAGACTTTGAAAGAGTGTGAACGTGACTGGAGCCAGACCTGGCAGACTGATGCAGGTTGATCAGTCGTTCACAGTCTGACAAATGTCTCCATGCACTCTAGTTTGCAGAGGAAGTCACCAACAAAGAACATAAACCCCCAAGAAGGGAAACTCACTTGTGACTACACTAATCACTCATCAGTGCTCAGACAGCATCCATGTCCATTGAATTACCTACATTTCAAGTTCAAAAAACCACCAAGAAAGAGAAACAAAACTAAGGAAAGTCTTTTTTCTTTCCGCTACATTCTTATACACCCAATTCTGAAATCCAGTAATGCTAAGAACCTTGACAGACCAGCAACAGGCTGGAACAATATGGAAGGGAGAATAAAGAGCACCATATAAATGACATCTTGCTATATCCCAACAACTTTCAAGATAGAAGTATGTCACTCATTTAGCTGTTATTGTATTCCAATCTAGAGTGGAACCACATCAAAAGTAACAGGAATTGTACATGTAAAATGTAATATTAATGTGTATGTAAATCTACAAATGCACAAATGTTCATGGATGAGTCATTCCAATTAGCAAATGTGGTCTTTAGAGTAAAAGCTCAGCACTATTTAGCGTTTGAAGGGTTACCAAAGCACCTTTCTGCATGTGCAAACAAGGTACTCTTACGAAGCGACCAATTCAAATAACCCATTTAGGACAAATGTATCCCAGTATGTATCTGCCACCGGTCAGAGAAACTGATTTCTGCTCCTCTACACAGCACCTGCTTAGAGATGCACATAGATGGAAAGAGGTTTTTCCTCTTTAAAGAAGTACTTTACCGTCAGAAGCACTCAGCACTGTATAAGTGACGGTCAGCAGCAATACTGCTAGCGTATTTTTCATACCAAGGCTGTTTCAGCCCCATTTAGTTTCTTCTTCCATCTGCAGACTGTAAGACCAACAGCTTGCAAAACAGGTTCAGAGCTTGGGGAATTTACATGTTAGAACTAGGAGTGTCTTTTGGACTACATCCATGTATTTCTGAAACTAGGCACCACACCAAGAGTACACAAGTGAAACTTTGAAGTCTGTTACAGTAGGCCTGGAGTTCAACACAAGCAGAAAACTCCACCCAGCTTTCTGAAGAGTTGAACACTCTGCACAGCTTAAGCTTACTGAGTCCTTACCTCGGCCATAAGCTCTTGCTTTCTTTGGATTCAGTTTGGGTTTTAAAGGAGCTCCTGGCTTCAGCTTGGCTTTAGGGAACTGTGACAGGTAAGTCATTACAGAGTGCTCATCCACATCAGGGTGGATAATTTCCTCAGGAGTAATAACCTGAAAGACAGCACAATTAAATATATTGTTATCAGTGCTTGGATACGGCATGCCAACAGAGAAACAGAGCTACGGCACACATTCCTGTGTTCCAGAACTCCCACACTCTAACGTGATTTCTTACATTCATTTCTCTGTGATAAAAACTAGTTCATTTATCATCTCATGGCAAGAAAATCAAGCAGCTCATTATGGTCCCACTGCAGTCTGGGAGGCAAGGGGTTCCTGCACTTGGATTATCAGGGGGTTGCCATGAGGCTGCAAAAAGCTAAATGGTGGCAAGCCAAGACAGTGCAGCCACACTCACAAAAGCAGCATGGGGATAACCAAAACCAAAGAACGAGGGATTCGTAATGCTGTGTCCTAGGGCCTTGAAGTGCAAAGCCTACAGAGTAAGACTTGGGACATTCTTTTCCTGCTCCCAGGATACAAGGTGCTCCAAAAGCCCCAGAGACTCCAGCACTTCAGTTCAGTTTTATCAGCATGAAAATAACCTGATCTGTAAATACACTGTCCTCTGTTTAAAAGTCACCTTTGGAAGTGATTTCTTAGTCCAGTGTGTTTTTATCTCAGATAATTAATTCACAGAATCATTAAAGTTGGAAAAGACCACTAAGACCATCCAGGCCAACCCCCAGGCCAACCCCACCATGTCCACCAATCACGTCCCACAGTGCCACGGTTCTGGAAGACCTCCAGACATGGTGACTCCACCACATCCCTGGGCAGCCTGCGCCAGTGCCTCACTGCTGTTTTGGAGAACAAATTTTTCCTAACATCCAGTGCAGCAAAACAAACCCACTCAGCCATCACTAGAAGTGTACTATCTCCCTACTCCACATACTTGCAACACTGGCAACCTTTAGCACAAGCTCCTGTACTAAAACTCATAACCAGAGCTCTGAAATACAATGGTACATTTCTCGGGGAATTTTGCTTAAGTAAACTGTGACCTTAAAAAGTGCGTAAGCAATTTCACCTGCTTTCCCCAGTCTTAGCACACTGTAAGAACCAACTCACGCAGTGCTTCCCACACCGCCTTACCTGCGGCACGCCCAGCCAGTCATCCGCCTGCTGCATGGCCTCACGAGCGTTGTCAACAGGCTTGCTCGGGTCCCAGGTCTCCCAGTCAGGGCACAGGCCTGCAAGAAAGTTTCATCATTAGGCACTGCCTGCAGAGAAGCTTCCCTAGCTGACGAAACCAGGTACAAGCTCCACAGCCACTTGTAATGATGTTGCCATAAAAACATTTGGACCCTGGCAAGAGCAACCCAAATGGGAGAAGCGCATGCTGCTCGCCGAAATGCTTCTCAGACAACAACCAGCATCTCCAGGGGCTCTTCCAACTCAGTCTTAGACAGCCCGTTCCAAAAGCCTCCCACCCACCTTGCCTGTCAGCACAAAAGACATACAGCTTCTGGGTCAGCCACACAGAGCACAGCTTTACATTTAAACTGTGGAAGACGCTGCTCTAAATTCACCACAAATACACCCAAGGATCCTTTACATTCTGGTGGTTCTCCTACAGCACATTTCAAGAAGGGATTTCAGCTGCCTGCAACACTACCCCAGATTGCATTAGCAAGGCTGTATTATGAGAAAGTGAGGAAACTGCCTTTTTCACACTTCATCACTTTGCTTGCCTTAAGCTGCACAGTTGTAACTTGCTAAACACTGAAGTTGCAGGCAGCGTGCCGCTTCTGACTGAGCTGCACTCCTGTGCAATCCTCTCTCAGGAGGACACACAGAGTCTCCTGCTGCACCCTGAAGCTGAGAGGTTGTTGGCACTCGCTGTGGGAAGAAGTCTGTCTTGCACGTGGGAGCCAGCACTTGTGCCTTTGTCCCTTGCATCCAACACAAGATTTAGATACAGCACCTCCAACAATGCAAACGCATATTCTGCTTTAGGCCAGTACTTGTCTTTGCCAGATCATTTACAACGTGCTGCTTTCCACAGCTGGCCTCTTTGGACTCCAGTTTTCCTGACAGCCTTACTTCTGCCTTCAGTACAGCTCTGAAAACCTCCCCCTCTATGAACAGCAGAGCAGCCCCAAGAAGAGGGGGCAAGGAAACATTGATCAAAGGCTTACCTGGAGCACAGCTGTCAACGAGAGCCCCAAGTGCTTTGCCATCCTGCCAGTTCTGATTGAAGTTTGTGATGGGCAGGTAAGGGATTTTGTTCTGAATCCAGCCCAGCAGCCTTTGCTTGGGGGTCTGCTTCTTTGCATCATCGTCACCCTCATCCTCCCACACAGGCATGGAAATCGAGTAGTGGAGGATAAGGGTCCATATCAGACCAAGGATCAACTTCAAGTTTCCATCAACTATGGCTTTACTATCTGGAAGACAAAAGACAGACATCTGATTATTTCCTATTCTATAAGAGGCACATTTTTAAGTTCCTCACTTGAGCCCAGATAATCCAGGCGAGAAGCACTTAGGTCATCCACAGGCACTTGCACAGGCAACAACCCTGGTTTGTTTGATCTCAACCAAAACAGGGCTATCCTGCAACCTTTCAGGATGCCCTTGCACCTGATCTTATCATTCAGAGCAGCAACTGCCACCAGAATAATTGCACAGGGATCTTAGGATCTTAGTGAGCACTAGCTAGCAAACAGAAAGTGTTCAGTGCTTTGATGGCCTACAGTTCAAATTCAGGATGCTTATAGGTAAAGTCAGCAAGCGCGGAGCACACTTTGCTCACCCCTATTCACCTCACGTACCACAGCAGTACTTCAGTAGCATATTATCAACATACAGAGGTCTTGACTTTCAAAAAAAAAAGTGATTACACAGGACAGCTACCAAAAAAAGCAAGCAACAGTGCATCTCCTTTATCCCAGTGTTCACAGGAAGCTGTTACTATTCACATGGTTTCACAATAGGACGGTATGTCCTGAGCAGATAATACTCTAACATCAGACCTTGAGTGGCATGCTATCTTTCTCAATAGCTAACATTTCATTTTGCTTGGCTTTTATTTACATTTTTTAAAGCATCAGTTTTGACTAATCTCACAGAACAATGCTAAGTGTCTGGGACTTGAATGCTCATAGCTGATCTCACATTCAGTCTGAGATGTACAACAGACAGCCAGAAAGTGAGTAAACCCTGCTGGATTTTTAATGAGCGGCTGTGAAGAAAAAGACAGCATCACACAAACACTGCTGAGCAGCTTTCGCACCACAGCAGAAGGCACAGCTACATTTCATATATTATAGAACAGCTTAGGTTAGAAGGGACTTTAAAAATCACTGAGCTCCAAATCTCTTGCCTCCCACCAGATCAGGCTGCCCAGGATCCCTTCTAACCTGGCCTTGAGCATCTCCAGGGATATGGCATCCACAACTTCTCTGAGCACAGGAGCATCCCAAAGCCTTGCTGGCTGGCTCAGCACAGTGCAAAGATGCACAAGCAGTTACCAAGGCTGAAGCATACCAAGTGCCCCAACACCCATCCCACAGCAGGACCAGCCCTCACAACACAGTGCAGGCTGCTGCAGCCTCATGCCAGAAACATCTCCAAGCTTTAGCTCCGGATTTATACTGACATCAGCATTTTTACTAGAATGGATGCAGCAATGATTTAGTGTGCTACAAATAAATTTGTCTCAGAATGCCATCCAGCATTCCCAGGGATAAAAGCCAGCGGGACAGAGTCACCTCAAGCACATTGCTACACGCATGTTACTTAGGATAAAAAATAGCCTGTTCCATATTTATACCACATAAATATGTCTCAGGCAGATGTACTGTGGTCACTGCAGCAGCCAAGCAGCTTCCTCCAGCCCCACCACCTCTGAGGGCACAACACAAGAGCAGGGTTAAGAGCCCACGCTCAAAAGCTTCCCCTGCAGCACAGGAACCCCCAGCCCCAGCAGCAGGAAGAGGTCACAGCAGGAGCAGGACAGCTCTTCCTCCCTGAGGCTGATGCTGTCCCTGCAGCGGTACTTTGTTAGCAAAGTCGGTTTGCTCTTACAGTCCCCACACTTCCTGACATGCATAGGGATCTCATGATGTAATTTTTTCCAAGCCTGCTTGCAGGAGGGCTTGTCTGCTCTCCTTTAGGTTGGGGAGAAGGGAGGGAGAACTTCTAGGCAGGTCAGACTTTATCAGCACCCTATGGAATACCCACAGGGATCCCTTCCAGCTTCCACCAGAGCTCAGCCCTGGCTTGCCTGGGCTCTGAAATCCCTCAGAATTCAAAAGAACCCTTTGAGGTTCACAAAGAAATCAGAGTCTAGCCCAAAGCAGCTTCATTTCCAACCAGCAGTGTAGAGCTCAGCTCTGCTGGAGTGCTTTGAGTTTTCCACAAAGCAGAAAAGGCTCTGCTTTGATGGAACTCTTTTAAATAGCGAACTGAGACCATACAGTGTCTTTCTTCTTGGAGGTCTCTTGATGTTAACATGCAGACACCAGACACAGACCAGCAGACCAGCTGGGCCTGTACTAACCCACTCAGTACAACCAAGCCTGCAACCACCTCCACCAAGCACACACTGCCAGTGTAAAACATCCAAGATTGGAACATAGAAAAAAAATGTTTCCAGTTACACTTAAGCACCAACAATTATTACTCCAGGCACTGTCATGTACCACAGCTTGGCCAGTTTTCCAGTGGAATTCACCCATCCCGTGGTTTGCCTAAAGACACTTTTCCTGGCTGTACCAGACTGGAAAATGGATGATATGAACAGCAGATCTTGCAGCACTGCTTTCCTACCATGAACGCTACTTTAGTCATACTTATTTCTCATACAGTCTACACTTTGAAGCCTTACAGAGCCTTTCAAACCATGTTCTTCTGATTACTCCTCTGAAGCTTGTGGTAAGTCTACAGCATGGAGATGCACATTTACTGCAGTCACTGCTTCAGGGGCACAATGCAACCTCCCAGCCCCTGCAGCACACACTTCCACCATCAGCAAAGTCTGATGAACAAAAATGGGAAGATTTACACCACGTTCACGAGGTCATCGGTCAGTCTCTGCTCTCAGGTAGCAGAGATAAGACAACAATTAATGGTCTTAAGTTGCACCAGGGGAGGTTCAGGTTGGATATTAAAAAAAAAAATTATTCTCAGAAAGAGTGGCAGGGCTCTGGAATTGGAAGGAAAGTGGGAGAGTCTCTGTCTCTGAAAGTGTTCAAGAAACATGGAGGTGTGACACTGAGGGCCATGGTTTTGTGGACATGGTGGAGATGGATTGTGGCTGGACTTGATGATCTTGGGAGGTACTTCCCAGTCTTAATGATTCTATAAATGCACATAGTAGGGACAGGTTCACTGTTGGACTTGGTGATTTTGGAGGCCTTTCCCCATCTTAATGATGACAGCTTAGTAGTTTAGGTTATACTCTCACATCAGGCTCTGGTTGCAACAAATGAGTCTAAGTGCGCATTCAGGGCATGGAGAGGTGCGTTCCCACAGCCTGAAGTAAGGAGACCTGTCTGCACTTAACTCACATTAAGAATCCTCAGCAAACGTCTGCAAGGGCCATTCTCATGCACAGCATCAATAGCTTGCTCACTCGAGCTGGTGGGAGATGTCTGCTTTTGCACTTGTGAGGACTTGAGCCCAGCAGCAAACAGACAAGCAAATTCAAAAGTGTCATCAGAGCACCCAAAGGAGTAGCTTATAGCACGGTTTTTATTTGTTTTTCCTGTGGCCTCCAAGCAGCATACAGCTTAGGCCTAAGCTGCAACTGCCACACTGAAGCCAGCCTGCAGCAGCCAGCAAACAGCCCAGCCCTGCACTCAGCGCGGTGGCAAGGCTGAGTGCTGTGGGATGGCTGCCAGCACAACTTGCTTGTTCAGTGCCGGTGTTGGTTCTGCAGAACAGCTCAAGCACTCACTCTTCTGTTAAAGAAAAGAAAAAAGCCTATATATAGACTACAACATTAAGTTTTATGTAGGAGTATCCTGCTTCTTAGTCAGCTATCAGGTTTTAAGTGGCTGCCTGGTAGGATAAAGAGGAAAACAGACCGAACCAGAGCTAGTTTGCTTCCCCCATCACACCTCAGAGTCTAGATTGTAATTCTGACCCTTTTATTATCCTATTAACTAAGTGGCAACCAGCCCAAAAAATGGATTATGGAGATTCCATAGGACTGCAGTACACGCCAATTTCAGTCTTGAAACAGAACCAAGTTTTAACTGCTTGAGCTGATTTATAATTGTTGCTCTATACTAAATATTAATATGATATGTTACACTTGGACACGTTAACACTGCACTCTTTAGAGTGCAGAGGAAGACATTACATTGCCTAGTTTAGAGCAACTAACATAACTTGTTTGAGCCTCAAATGCAACCATCTCAAGATAAACGTGCCATTTGTAAACCTTAGGCAACAACACACTTCACAGCCCAAGCTCCCATGTGGAAAACAGCCAAGGTTGCAAAGCTTGGTGCTCTGTGTTTGTACTTTCAGTTGTCCCAACAGAAAGAGTCAAAGTTGAAACCCGACCTTGATCTGAAGCTTGCAAATTCACCTACTCCAGTGGAGACCTCTGAACTTCACCTGAAGCTGTGCACCACAGCAAACAGGACACCAAGATTCCCCACCTTATCTTGGCTCTCTAACTAAAAGCTGTCTTCAGTCTTTTAAGTCATGATATCCATGACTAAGAACATTCTACATCTTTTGCCTTTAAATTAAGTGCCTTGGACAAATTACAATTGTCTTCTAAGCTATAAAAATAATTATTGCTTCATTTCAGGAGTTAGCCCTTCAAGTGAAATTCTTGTGTTCTTACGCATCTTTCACAACAGCCTCCCTTGCCCATCTCAGGGTTTTTCCTAGCCCAGCACACATTTATTATTTCAGTCAGGTTTATACTAGAAGAAAGATGGTTTTCAGAGTTAAAAATAATAATAATTGTGTTAATAAATCAAAACAATAAATCATCCCACATGCAGCACAAGAGGCCCCTCACTCCTCTATTTAAAAATTTCCAAGTCACAACAACACGGAAAATTCCAAGCAGATTTCCAGGAAAAAGGGAAAAAGTCTTCTCCGTGAGGGCAGTCGCACACTGGAGCGGAAGCCCAGAGAGGCTGTAACATTTCCATCATCAGGTATGTCCAAACTCAAGAGGACACTGCCTTGAGCAATCTGAATGAGCTGAACCTAATAAGTACTTGTCTTGGAGAATATCACCTTCAACAGCCTCTCTGAAAAGAAATCATTCCACAAATCAAAAAAGTTCTAGTGTTATAAGCGAGCCTTGAAATAGCATATTTTGCTTATGTGCAAGTCTGCCTTAGGTTGAGATTAAGCACTAGTACTACACTAGCTGTGGCAAGCAAGGTTCCTTGAACTCTGCCCCACAGCAGGA